AAGTATTAATTTATAAGTTTTCGCATGTAGAAAGAATAAGAGGCGATGTGTAATAGTCGAAGTGCAAGAGGAAAGTAACTCGGTAATTGTCAAAGTTAATAGAAGGACCGTTTGTGTTTATCTTACGCAAAGCCAACTATACCGAGATTAAAATTTTAAAGTATCATTATTTTATATTAAAATTTTTTTAAGTTTCTTTTACATAACCATTTTGTGACATTTGACATGAATATTGTTATTTTTCCCTTAGAATCATCTGTCCAAAAAATGATCGAATTATTTACCGCAACTTCTCCGTATAATAATCGTGAATTCCATTTCTTTGCGTTTGAAAATATTCAAATAATCTGACCATAAGCTTTTTATGGAGCAACCAAGTAGGCAATCGCTAATTCACCGACATAAACCATACATCATTCAAGCCTCATATTAAAATCAGTAATGGTGGCACGAGCTTCATCTCTTGCCGCAATTTTCGAAGGGCGCCACAGTACTAAAGTTTTACTTTGTAGAAAAATGTCGAAAACAGCATTTACGTCATCAATGAGAACGGAAGTTATTCATGATCAATTGTGAGAGTCATGATCTGATTTTATAGTCGAAATCTCATTCTAGATCATATCTTTTTCGAATCTTTATAATAGTTTTTTATTTGTGCATAAACTATTCTTCAATAATATCATTTTTTAACATGGTTTTATTCAAAGATAATGAAGCTTTTTCGAAAATTCGTAGAAGATATGGTCTAAATTAAACCTGCTTCTTTAAAAGTAGATCTTGTTTATCAAAATCAATTAAATGTTACGCCTTTTTTGATTGTTGGTATAAACTATTAAAAAACTAGCGGTGATAAACAGCCTTAATTTTTTAGCCAATCAATAATCAGCATAGATTGATCACTGATTTGTAATTAACATAAATTAGCATATTATCATTTAAATAATTGTTGAACTGATAATAAGTTTTGTCAATTTCAAATTTTTGTGTATTATATTAAAAAAAAATAGTTCCTACATTTTATCAGATGATGGTAATATTTCGTTTAGTGTGATTATATTATAACAGAGTGCGTGGATAATAACAATATTAATGTGTTTCTAAAGCCTACCTTCTTATTATAAAGTATATGAGGGAGTATTTTGCATTCTTTATATATATATATACATATATATATAATCAGTCAACAATATTTGTAATTTGAGATAGATGTATAAAAGTAGATGATGATATTCGGATTTTATTTTTTGCTTTTATGTACCTTATTTTATCGGTAAAATTTTATTATATAAAATGGCTTATATTGAAAGTATTCAAATTGATACTAATTCATGTATCATTCTTCAATTGAAAACAACTGAATGTTTATATAAACCTTGAATTAAGTTTATAATGTTCTCTACGTTATAAGACGATGATGTGATTGAAAGGTCGAATAATATAATATTTATAAAATATTGTATTCATCTATATATACTGGGTATATAAATATACGCAGTCATTTATTCTTGTGAAGGTGAAAATTATATACTACGAATGTTTTAAAAAAAAACTACCTTCGCTACGCTACTATTATTTATGTATATTTTTACCAAATTTTGATCCTATGTCACTTTTTATTGTAAAGAATATTATTTCTTTACAAAAATATAATCATATAGTTGAACTTAAAGTACTTTCCCGCTAAATTTAGAAATAAAATTTAATAATTATTTCAGGTTGATAAGAAGTTTAATATATCATGTAAGTATAACAATTGTATAAGATACTTGTAATATAATATGTTCTTAAAATATAAAAAAAAAAAATTAACATTTATACGTATATTTATTTACTAGAGAAAAGTAAAAGCATTTGTTACAATGTCAATCAACGTTGTGAAGTTTACTAAATTAAGAACATCAACAGACCCAACATTCTGGGCAAAATTTGCTGAATTGAAGATAGATAAACTTCGATTGGATGATAAATCTGAAGTTAAATTATGGGGAAGGTATTCTTTTAATGTTCCAGAAAGTGAAAAAAATAATCCTTTAGTACTGGATTATATGTCGTTTAATGAGTAAATAAGAGTTATTAAATATGTTTTTGATATAATTTTCTGACATATACATGACATATTAACTTTTAACCATTTAATTTTTAGAAATGTGGAATCGAATTCAATTAATAACTCAATAATATGTTATGGTTATATGGTTAATACCAATACGTATGAAGCATTTCGAAAGATTAATCCGCAAAATTTTATTGATTCAGTGGGAAAATGTATTATTAATGATATTACGTCTGGTGCAGCATTAGTAGAACCTTGGAAACTTGCTATATTCTTAATATTTTCTTATGCTGATTTGAAAACATATAGGTTTCATTATTGGGTAGCACATCCAACACCTTTGTCTTTACCAGAAATGTATCATGAAAAAATACAGAGATCTATAAATGACAATTTCAAGATCAATCAGTTGGATAAATTGTATGAAGGTTTTCAACAATTGGATTATAAACAGAAATCATTTTTTTCTGTTTTTGTATTCGGTAATGATAATGTCAAAGTTAATACTTTAAATGAAGGTATAAAATATATTAATGCACAAGAAAGTACAGTTGAGGTAATATATAATTTATATTACTTATAATAATATATTCATTATGACATAGTATTTATAATAGATATAGATATAGATAGTAATAGATTATTTATGTTTATGTTTAGACAGATTGTGAAATATATTTTGCATTCTATAATCCATGCAAAAGTTTAGAACCTGGTTGGCAATTAAGAAATCTTTTATGTTTATTATTTTGGCATTGCTCCACATTTTGTTTTACAAAGAGTATACAAATATTATCTCTAAATAAAGATGATTTTAAAACGGCTATTGTATATACTTTGAAATGCAAAGATTATGCAGAACAAGAAATTGTGAAAAAATCTATTTTTGACAGTCATTTAGTTGGATGGGAACATAATGAAAATGGTAAAATGGGTCCTCAAATTGTTGATTTATCTGAGACTTTAGATCCAAATAAGTAAGTTCTATAAATATTATTATTTTCTTAATCTGTAATTTGTACATTATTATTGTTATTAATATTATTATTATGATCAATAACACATAACACACAGGCTAGCAGAAAAAGCAATTAATTTAAACTTAAAACTAATGAAATGGCGCCTTGTTCCTGATTTGGATCTAGAGAAGATTAGCAATCTCAGATGTTTATTGTTGGGTGCTGGAACATTAGGATGTTCAGTAGCTAGAGTACTCATTGGTTGGGGAATTAGCAACATTACTTTTGTGGATAAATCAACTGTTTCTCACAGTAACACAGTAAGACAAAGTCTTTACATTCATGAAGATGCTGTGAAACGAAAATTCAAAGTAGATGCAGCTAAAGATGCTCTTCTTAGGATTCGTCCAACTATGGTAAACGTTTCTAATATGTATTAGTTTTAGTAAATATATTTTCAAAATATCATATATTTAGTTTATGTTACTAATGTCTTTATTCTATAGAATGTACATGGCATTAAATTACAAATTCCAATGCCTGGACATGTCGTTGGACAAAGCATGTTAAATACAACTAAAGAAGCTGTGAAAAAATTAGAAGACGCTATTGCTCAAAACGATGTAGTATTCTTATTACTAGATTCACGTGAAGCTAGGTGGTTACCAACTTTATTATGTGCAGCAATGAATAAAATAACTATCAATGCAGCTTTAGGTTTCGATTCTTATATGGTACAAAGACATGGTGTAAGAAATTTAACAGATATTCCAATATCAAATGTGACCTCACAAAATCCTGATGGAAAGAATCTTGGATGTTATTTTTGCAATGATATAACACAACCAGGAAATGTAAATTTGTTTCTTAAAAATAAGATAATCATTAATTCGTATGTTTCAAAGAATGATTGTAATGTTATTCCAGTCTCAAACAGATAGAACTCTTGATCAGCAATGTACAGTAAGTCGTCCAGGATTGTCTCAAATTGCTGCAGGTTTAGCAGTTGAATTAATGATCGCAATAACTCAACATTCACAGGGGTTTGATATTTTATTTTTTTCTTATAAGTAATAAGCATATCAGTAAAAATTATTTAAAAACTACAAATGTTTATGTAATTTATAGTTTAGAAGCTAAGGCACTAACACCTGGAATTAAAAATAATGTCAATTCAAATATCAAAGATAATGCATTAGAAGGATTACTTGGAGATATACCACATACGATAAGAGGATCTCTTTGGGGATATGAATCCTATTTAACTATTACACACAGATTTTTCTCTTGCACTGCGTGTTCGATACCTTTGATATCAGAATACCAAAAGCGTGGCTTTGAGTTTATACTTGATGCTTGCAATATACCAAACTATTTGGAAAAATTGTGTGGTCTAGAAGAACTGTTGAAAAGACCAGACTTGGACGAGGTAAGAGAGGTAATCGTATATAAAAGAAAAAAAGAAAACATGATTTTTATTAGAAAGTTTGTTATCTTTTCAGCTTTGTAATTCTATAGATGCTTCTAGCGAAGAAGAATAATAGAGCCAAATTGATAACAATCAATTACTTTTTTATCCTAATTTTTGTGTATATCTAAAATATATTTGTATATTTACCAAATTGAACGTTTAAATATTAATTATTACTTAGACATTTATTATATTACCTGTGTACTTTATATACTTGCGATATATTGTATAACATGAATGTAAATATTGTTTATTTTAATCGTATGATAATAAATGTGATTAAGAAAAATAAGAAACGAATATATAATTATTCACGTTTAAAAATGTTTATATTAAAAAACAAAGAATACCAATATTAACAATGTCAATTAATGTTCATCTATATACATACGCTAAACATGAATACAAACTAACTCGTCACCGTCTGTGGGTGGTATTAGTGGCTTCTACGTACAACTTGAAGATTTTGCCAGTAGAGTGCGTTAGTTAAGCTTGAATGCCATGCATTCCAGTGTAATGTCGAGTATTGGTGGGGGTAGTGAGCCTACCTCTCGTGTCAAACGGGTTGGACTTCGTGTGTCCGCCCGCATACCATTAGATTTCCATCGTTTTCAATGAAAATACATGTGTACGGTATTATTATAAAGTGAAAAATAGTTCGTCTCAATGGTTTTAGTTTACGTTTATCTAAGCATCATTGTAATCGTTTTGGGTAAGTGACATTATCTATCACGAAAGAATATAAGGTACTCCGACTTTACAAGGAGGAATGCGTGCCTTGCTTTTTTATGGCACGCCACACCGCATTCCTCTTTCAATTCCCGCGAACGCATCGTAATTGCGAAAACGATTATTTTTTAATCGTTCAAAAACGATTTGATTCATCATTTTCAACGTTGAATTTACGTTAAAGTTAATTCCACACACGGTATATCAATGTTTCTGAAATAAAGAATTATCTTCGATCATTGTGATATTAATTCTGACTTACAAGGATAGGTAGAACGCAATGTTCTGTAATCGATTGCAACGATCGGCGCATCAAGATATCTAAAGAATGTGTATTTTAACGAACGTGTAAGAAAAGTATCATGCTTTTAAGATAAATTTTTCTATTGGAAAATAAAAATTAAGAATAATATATCCGTATGAAATTTGTCCTCTTGATTACAATAATCATCACATAATAATAATTCAAAATACAAAGTTCCTTTGTGATGTTCCACAGTTAAGATTATAGTATATAAGATTATATACGGGAACAATGGGTTATAGTTGAACTTGAAAGAAATTAATATTACGAATAGAAGAAAGAGAGAAAGAAAAAAAATTTAGATAAAGTTTTGGAGGGTGTACAAAAGGAAAAAAAATAGATAGTAGGAAGAGAGCAAACTAAGTCTAGACCAATAATGATGATGAGAATCGTCGATACTCTAACGAAGAGAAGGAGGAAGAAGTGGGGGAGGAGGTGGAGGAGGAGGTAGAAGAGGTAGAAGAGGTAGAGGAGGTAGAGGAGGCAGAGGAGATAGAGGAGGATGAGAAGGAGGAGAGGGAGGAATAGGAACACGATGTCGGCGAATTGGTGGAAGATTGGTGGAGGGTCTGAGGGGGTACCAATGGGGGGACCAGCGGGGGGTCGACGGGAGCGATATCGCGTGCGCGGGAGGGACGGGGGATCGGGGAAGAGACGGGCCTCGAGTGGTGAGAGTCCGCATTCCACAGACAATGTCACGTTTTTTAATCCCCGTTTTACTTTATTCGTGCTATCCTCAACGCCCGAGTAAACGTTCAAGAGGATCGTTTTAAACTTCATTTTGTACTTCCTTCCTATAGCTGAGACTTCTATTGACCATTTGCGTAAACAAAGGAGGTAAAGGTCATCGAGGACTATCCAAAAGCTAGCGTGCGAAGGCCAACTAACTACGTTTCCTTTTAAGAGGCGCGCCAATTTTCGCGCCTTTCTTGTCATAAGAAGAGAAAGAGAAAGGGGTTAGGGAGGTGGAAAGAAGAAGAAAGAAAGAAAAGCAAGCTATAGAGGGAAAGAAGAAAGAAGGAGAGAGAAGAGACGTTCGCAATCGTCTGTGCAAAGAAAAAGTGAAAAATTATCGAAAGTGATATGTCGGCCCTTGAGAGTGCATTGGATGTCCTATCCAGAGCGGCAACGATGGTACAAGGTCAGTTGAAGTTAATAATAAATTTTAGAATTTAATAATAATATTTTTAATGTCTTTCCCTAATTAATCTAATAACCAGTATTTGATTTATTTTTATACTATTCCTCATCTTCGTTTTTTATACTTCTACTCGTTCATTTATTTTTCTTCCTATCGCGATTCTTTCTTCTTTTCCTTATCTTTTCGATAGAATCGTTTTTTTTTTTATTTTTTCATTTATCCATTTCTTTCAATATCCATCGGATAATAATCCATGTTTTGCAAGACGATTTGAATTTTTTAAATTCGCGGGCAACAAATTGCAGCGCTATCTAGTGAAGTAACGGAGAAAAACTCTTAAAAACAATTTTGCCTATATTAAGGTGTTCACCCATTATCAAGAATTTTCGTGTTTCAATGCTGACGATTACGAATGACTTTACTTTTTCATAAATATATATATATATACATATATACATACATATATACATACATATATATGTATGTATAATAATGTCGATAATGAGGGGCAAAACGATTTAACAAGCCATAACTTTGCTCGCACAATTTATGTATATGTATACATATTTATTTTTAGGCAAATAACGTTGCTTTTTTTTGTCGATAATTTGCTTATTATCTTTTCAAAACTAATATTTAGGTTTCTGATATTTCACTTTAAAATAACGCGAGCAATTAACGATGAATTTTATTGAAAACATATCTTCTAATGAATAAGGGACAAAAGAATAATCATATAGTCGAAATATTAAATGAAGGGCACAATCGAGATAAGCGTTTATGGAAAATATTGACATTGAATGTTAGAGAATAAGAGAGAGAGAGAGAGTAAGATAAAGAGAGAAAGAGAGAGAGTGAGAAAGAGAGAGAGAGAGAGAGAGAGAGAGAGAGAGAGAGAGAGAGAGAGAGAGAGAGAGAGAGAGAGAGAGAGAGAGAGAGAAAGGGAAATAATGTTATCTAGGTTTAAATTTCGGTATTTATATTTGACTATATAAAAATAGCACAACAGACGAGAGATTAATTATCCGTGTTCCTTTAAAAAAATATACATACTTATGTATGTATGTATTATAACGAGAACACACTATGTTAACTTCCTAATATCATTCTTACATATATATGTATAGTTAACGTAAGAACGCACGTACGAATTGGCAACGAATTTGTTACGTGATTTTGTAATATTAGTAAATCTTTTCTATGACATCAAATGTGTTCTGTCTAAAATATAATAAACATGTTACTTATTTGCAGGTTAATGCCTGCTACCTTTATACATCATCATATTCTTCCTTAATATGTAATTTTATACACGAGATCTTTCATAAACGTTTGTCCGTTTTGATTCGTCTATTTCATTGATATTTCGTTCAAAATGATTATTCTTTTTCTTTCAGAAGAAGAGATTCGTGAGAATGGATAACTCCAGTAGACGATGAATCGATCGCAGCTCTATCGAAGCATAAATCTGTGGCAACGACAGCCATAGTCATGCGGGTTGTCTGGCTAAATGATAAACAACCACTACGGTCTGACTTGAGAGAAGATATTTATTTTTGTAAGTAAATTGCAGGGCTTACGAGACATTAATGTACACTTATGTACAGTGTTTTTATCGACCAAAATAATAGAGTGTAAAAAAGGAAGACGTACATCTTCTACGTTGATTATAAAGAGATTACAAAATTTGTGTTCTGTATGCCGAACAATAAAATTATTTTAATCATATAAAATCAAATGTACGGAAAAATGAATAACTTAAAAAAAAAAAAAAAAAAAAAAAAAAAAAAAAAAAAAAAAAAAAAAAAAAAAAAAAAAAAAAAAAAAATTTCAAATTTATCTTCACTACTTTTTGTTATTTTTCGATGGATCTTTGCCCTGATCATACTATTATTTTTCCTAGAATTTGTCGTTATTATTTGCATTGTTATAGCAACAATATTGCTATGTTCTTGCATATATAAATAATAAATATGTTCTTTTCAAAGAAATAATAACGTTCGAAGGTGCTAAAAGAGTGACGATATAGCGAGCGAAGATAAATGAATTAGAACGGTAAGGCAGATATTTACTTTTCCTTTAAAGAAGCTCGACTGGCACTTACAGAATACACTGATATTAAGAGATTGAATGAATTTAACTTGTTTATTTTTTTTTTTATTTTTTTTTTTTTATTTTTATTTTATTTTTTTTTTTTTATTAACCGTAATTCGTGATTTTTTCTTCTTTTTTCTATTTTTTTTTCTTTTTTTTTCTTTTTTTTTTTATTTTTATGAAAGATAAGAAAAGATAGGACAAGTAGGATGAGAATAGCACGATAGGTGTATTTCTATATAAATTTTAGGCGACACATGTGATATTTTCAAAGTTCGAATTCTGCGGTCTTGCGTGTTAGACAATTCGTGAGATGAAACGAACGAATAAATCATAAAGTAATCGCAGGGAAAGTATTTACGAAACCGCATACTGCTTTTGAAAGGGTCGTTCGACAGAAAGAGATATACCAAACTTCGTATACTTTTATTCCACATTTTTACCGGCATTGTATATCAGATCTTTGTCATTCACAAAATCCCACACGATCTTAACACAGAATTTAAAATCGAACTCTCTCTCAATGCTGGATATTCTCATGGCTTTTGCGTCTTTTTATTCAATTTCGCGAATTTGATATTTGCAGAAAATTGAGCCCGCGGAACATTACGTTTTCGCACATTGTGGTTGTTAAGATTCGATACAGAGCTCCAGCTTCCACACATCCACATTACTTCGTTCTCTTTAGCTTTTTCCGCTCTCAAATGCTGGTCCTTTGCCTGTAAACCTGTTTGGTTGTCTTTCTTGACGATCCTCTCACGGCTATTAGGCCGTTTCCTGTCTCGTCTTGAGAACCAAACTTGTTCTTTCATCCCCACCTACATTTTATCGGTCAAAAGGACCATAGTTGCGTCGATTTTTAATTTAAGAATGTTCACAATTCAGATAAATTTAATTACACCCATAAATTCTATCGATCGCTTGTCATTCTACAAATGTCTATATATGTATATATGTACATTTTTAATCCAATTCAGCAAACGAAAGTCATTCAGTCGTGCATGCATTGGAAAGAGAAGAAAAATAATATCGTTGCTAAGACAAATAAAAAAAAACTACATCGATCGATTGGAAAGAGTTTTTCTCGATGCAAACTTCATGAACATTGTCGATAAAAATTGCAGAAATTATTGTAATTTTTTATTCATGAAAATAATATAATATATTATTAACCAAGTTCATTCGCTTTACAGAAGGAGGACCAAAGTCAATGGATTTGCATCGTAGGCAAAGCAGCACGAGGCGTAAAGAACGCCGAATGGATCCTATTCAAAACGAAGCACTCGATATGTCTACGAATAAAACCGTCACTACGACGTACCTCAGACCCAGTGTGATTATATCTTCTACGTCGCAGCCTGGTAAGAAATTAAATAAAAAAATTGATGAATATTAAAAAATAATAAACATTTTATTTTCTTTATTATTTTGAAAAGCAAAATAATATTTCTTTTGAAAATCTTCATATTCGAAAGATTCGATTGATAAACGTTAAATACTTTTATAATTTCGTATCGGAATATTTAATCGCTATAAAAAACAACACATAAAAGAAGTTATCGAATTGAGAACAACGCTCTGCTCTTTCGCCTTTGTAACGAGTTCTGAAGTTTTATTGTCCGTCGTAAGGGTGACATTATGGCTCGACTGAATACAGTTTGCCTGGCTGAATACAACGTACTGTACGTAATGCAGATGTCGATTACGATGAATAAAAACATGATTAGATATTCTTACGATAAAAATGTTTGTAGGGATCAGTGCAGAAAAATTAATATAATTTTGTATATTTCTGTGATATGAGAAGAACAAAATTTAGAGATAAGAAACGAACAAAATTGTTAATTCTTTTTTTTTTTTTTTTTTTTTTTTTTTTTTTTTGTTCTTTTTAGTAAGGACAAATAATTGGGATACGATAAATAGGTCTCAATCATCGTCGACGTCTGACACCGGTAATGTTAGAAAAACGTGCAGTATTTATGATTCTGCAATAGACGAACATTTTAAACGATCGTTAGGTCCAGAAAAATATGCGGCAGTTTTTCATGCTACCGGAGCCGATAAAGAAGTCGGTTTGAGCGGTAAGTTTCACAATATTTGTATCATGTCGTTGATTTTCGTAGAATCATATTACATCTCTCATTGCAGTTGACGATCACTTTGCAAAATCGTTGGGTGATAAATGGACAACATTGAAGGAACCAGTGGATCCAAGGACCTCGTCTAATCACGTTTCAGTTCCCACGAGAGACATCAATTCGTTTCCTTCCTTTCACTGTTGCCCTTCTTGCGTTTTCCCCGATAAAGTCGGGCCACCGTAATGGAACTTCTTCGCTTTGATTCGTTATACGGAAGGGTAGAACTGTTATACATTACCCGTACACTAAATATTTTAGAGAATGAATTTTTCATATAGTGTATATAGTAGAATATTTTGATAAGTCGCGTATTTGTTGAAGTTATTATTTTCATTGTTAACTCTCGTGCAAAAGTAAAAAAGTATTTATTAAACTTGTCGGTGAACGACTTGTATATGTATTTATGTAAATAATTGCATATATTGCTCACGCACTTAGTGTATATCACAATATATATACTCAAACGTGTACACACACACACACACACACAGAGAGAAAGAGAGAGCATATGCATACACATTTACACACAGATACATAACTCTGACAACGAAAAAAGTAGTATATAAAAGGAGCACTGCACAATTAAACGTACAAATAATATACGTTTTATCCGTCGTTAGATTAAATCACGAATCGTATGTTGGAGAGATACAATTTAGAATATACAAAAGAACAGTTTGTATATCTATTGCTGACCTATCAGGTATTGTTCAAACATTAATCACGTTCGCGATACAAAATAATGCTTCGTTAATAGATGCCGGAGGTTGTAGTTTTCTTCGTCATACCCAAAAACTTGTCGTTTGAACGTCGAAAATGTAGATTATTTAAAAGGAGGAGTACTGATTTCAAATGGTGCTAGGAAGTCCGACACAAACCCCAGCACACATAGAAGTCAGTGCTTCTATCCTTTTATCCTTTACGATGTTATATCTTCCTCATAAAGATATATTTTTTCATAAAAACAGTAATTTCTAACGAAATGACACTCCTCACAAATTCCATATCATTTCCATTTTATATCATAACGCGAAATAAAAGGAAATGATTGAAACGTTATCGTCGTCGGGTTGTATGTGAATAAATAAATAAATATTCATTTGAGTAGCTTTTATATACGTGCGTGTTAACGCAATTATTTAAAATGACCATAAAGCTGTCAAAGCAATGTGTATCAGAGCACATCGTATATTCGTGTTTGTCGCTTTCAAATAAAAGCTTTAAGCTCTATATACAATATTTTCAAATGTGATTTATATATATATATATAAACTGATATCGATGGATATCGATGGATATCAATGGGTTTATTTATAATTGTTACATTTGGCATGATGTTCTTCAAAGAGAAAAAGAAAAGGAAAACTGCTGGGATATTTAATAACTGTACATATTTATCATTCACGTTGATTGGATGGAAGCGAACCCGCTTACGTCGGCTACAATGCAACCTTAAAAATTCTTACCGAAAAGATCAAAGGGCATCAAAACGATCGATCGACTTAATCGAATCCTCAAAATAAGAAAGCAAGACATATCTAATCGACACAAGTATGTGAAGTCTTTTCAATAAGCAGTGCCAACTAATATCGTATCGAGAATTAAAAAAGAAATCTATAATGTTTCCCGTTTTGAGTCAGCCGCAATCACGATAGACTGCAATGATCTACCAATAATTCTCATCTAATTTATTTCCCTCTAACTTGGTACATGCATAAATCGCGTTCGTGATTCGTAAATGAGTCTTCACTACGTATGTACGTACCGTTTCCGGCGATGCATGCGATTCGAACTTGGAATCGAAGGAGAGGATATAGCCGCGAGAAAAACGAGGACGTAGGGATATCGGAAAGAAAGAATTTTTTTTTTTGTATTTCTTTTTTTCTTTTCTTTTTTTTCTCTTTATATACGAACACGAAGATATAGCGGATGAGCCGAAGAACGACAGAGAGGTGCTTGGATTTAAGTATCGTCGGTGGGCCCAAACTAACGAGCCAGACTGTCTCAGGAGCGCTCGGATGGCTTCCTATATGCAGGCAGCCTGTTCACTTGCCGTAAAGCAAAATGGTAACTTAATATTAGACTTGAATATAAGTACGGTAATCCCACACCAGAGTCCAAAGTAAGTCTACACCTACCCCGCCCCATATACGCGTCTCGTCGTTCTGCCATCTCTGTTCTCCTCCGCGTCCCCCTTGGACACGAACGCCCTGAAGCGTAATAATGTAGCAGGACACTAGATATGTCTGTGCTCTTTCTTTCTCTTTTTTTCTTTTTTTCTTTTTTTCTTTATGCTAGGTGTAAATTCCGATTGCCGCAAAAGTGAAAAGTGTAACGTGCCCGAATTAAATCTCATCGATGACGTATTATTACGTTAGGAAAGTATACGAGACGATAAAAAGAAGTAGGAATAATAACAGGGAGCATGCACGATTGTTTCTAGTAGAACCGAAAGCAAGGATATGCGCATGTGCGCTCGCGCAAATTCCGCGTTGTTTCACGCGTGCCGAGCTAATAAAACCAATCCAAACGTGCTTTGCGACATCGTGTATATATATGTATATATGTATATTCATATATATATATATATATACATATATATGTATGTACATATACACATATATATAATGGGATGCGCAAAGCGAAACCACCTGTTATTGCGTTTCTCCTTTTCGTCCCGCTTTTCCATAGACTCTTTTTCATTACTTCTGCAAAGAAACTGACACGGTAATTAGAGAACGCAAGTTTTAAATCTTTTTTTCTTTTCATCTTTTTTTTTTTAAGCTCTCTTACAAAATGAGAGCCATTCCTTGATGACGCTGTAAAACGAAAGACTGTTCATGCGTATGTTCCTTCGAAAATAAAATGAAAATATCAAAGTGCATATGATTGTTTAAATTCTCGTATTGAATGTTTTTGAATATATATTTACCTTCGAAGTTACATCTTTTCTCCAGAATATATATTGTACGTATATAGATTAAAAGTACGCGTGAACGTCTGTGAGTATTATTATTCGCGCGGAAGGTCGCCAATACGCATCAAACTATTATTACCTACGTAGAAGTACCGATACTACTGTTTGTTCGTTTTAAGTCTCAGGCGTATCTTGTTTCGGAGCCAAACCCAGCCGACCGCAACTTGGCATCGTTTTCTCATTTTATTCTCTTGCATTACATCGATGTTAGTGCAAATTAAACGAAAAAAAAAGAAAAAATGCAGATACCAAGAAAGAACGAAAGACGAGAAGAGATTGAATTAGAAAAGCGTTAGCAAAGCGAGGTGAAATTTTTTGCCTTAGAACGGCTATTATCGAAGGATAGAAAGAAACATTTGTTAGATCGATGCGTTCTGAGAAAAATTTGTAAATAATTACTTGTGAAGAATTCGAAAATAATTATGAAAGTAGAAAGAATACGAGGAACGATATCTCGCTATCAAATGGGGATAGCAATAGAAGTGACGGCGGCGCACGTTGCTCGCCTTGCATCGAAATCCCTAAAGTACTTGGTAACGCGAAGAAGCTCCCGAACTTCTATGCGTCGTATTCGAAGAGGGTCTGCCAGATGCGAATCGATTTGTTACGAGAGACGACACGTGCCTCTTCGAACGATCGATTTTTTGGCTGCTCGACGAAGATGCTCGACTTTCTCGTTGCTTTCTCGTTTCCTCGTTCGTGAAACGAAGCGTTTCTCGTCGTGTTAAAATTAAAACAAAATTCTTCGACAAATTTTATTCGAAGATGAGAAAGTAAAAGATGTGTTGTCAATATATATGATATGTATATATATACATATGTATGTATGTATGTATGAATGTATATGTATATATATATATGTATGCGTATATATATACATATGTATGTATATATATCTTCTTAAAAGGAGTTTCTCCTCTTCAGGGAATATTCCAATTCGGATTTCGTTGTAAAGATAAAGCACAATTAAGACAGTTGAGATAAACTCGGTTTTCCGCGGTTGTTCGCGGATGCGCGCGTCTACTTGGCCATATATTCGAATTCGCGGGAGGCGTTGGCGCGCGCCGTTTATCGCGTCGTCGCCTCGCGCGCGTCCTGACGCTTCCGATTTACGAGAACGAGAGACGTTTGAATAGCGTGGAGCTTATAACGCTGTGGGACTTCGGACACGACTGATCGAGTGACCGAGGGGGTAGCATCATAGGAATACCCCTCTTCCTATCCTTGTGTGTTTCTCGTCTCTGTATAGAATTACGCCTCTGTCCGTAGACGCGACCGCTTATTCCATCCCCACCATTCACCCTTCCTGTACAAACGCAAAGAGGATGAAGGAAGAGAGTCTCTTTTTCGTTCTCTTTCGCTCTCTTTGCACCCTACATCCTACCCTTCTTTCCCCCTACCTTTCTTTCCATAGTACACGCATAAAGAAAATGCGCTCGCACGCACGCACGCACGCATTCATGCACGCACACACTTGTTTTCTCTCCCTCTCTCTATCTACAGTTTCCCCTTCTCCCTATGTAAGAACCCTACCAAACCCTCCACCCCCTTCCAGTGACTCCTCGCGTGCGTGAATCATGCATATCGATTTTGTTTCGTTGGTACGCCGTTCGGTATTCGCATACATACATACGTCTCTTTTCGTGTGTATCACGTCGTCCACCCGTTTTCCTCCTCCTCTTCTCTCTTCTCTACTCTCTCTTCTCATCTTTTCTCTTCTTTTCTCTTTTCTTCTCTTCTCTTCTCTTATGTTCTCTTCTCCTCTCTTCTCTTCTCCTCACTTCTCTTCTTTACTCTTCTCTTTTCTTCTCTTCACTTCTCTTCTCTTCTCTTCTCGTCTCGTCACTTCTCTTCTCATTCTGCAAAGCCCCGGGGTCCACGCGTTTTCGACCCCCTCTAGTAAACTATGCGCGCACGGCGAACGTGCTTACGATGAAGCGGCATACTATTCTTTTTTCGACAATGCTCCCCATTCCTTCTCTCTTTCTCTCTCTTTCTATCTGCCCCCCTCCCATCATTACCCTCTTCGTCACCCTGCTCTCTCTATCTAACGTACCCCTCGAGTCGTAGCTCCACTGCCCCTTTTATTTTACTACCCGGACAAGATGTCCTCGCGTAAAACGAAACGTGGTCGAGAGCAGAAATTCTCTAAAGTAAGAAGCTGAGGAAGGATAACAAAAAGAATAGAAAGGAGACAGGGGAGAAATATAAAAAGAAAGGACAAATTTCGGAATGGTAAGAAAAGAAAAAAACGTTTTTAAACTTGATCGTTTTATTTATATTATTTTTGAAAAGACGATACGAGAGAGATAATGCAAGGACGACATGACCAAATATAATTTCAAAAGATACAAATAATCTTTTGATACTTTTTTCGATACTTTCAATGTCATCCATCGAATATAAGTATTTCTTGATTCATTCGATTTCAAATGGACCATTCGAATCTATATACATACGTGTACGTATTAGAAACAGCATTTCACGACGTCCCTTTCAGCCCTTCGTCATCATATGAACAGAACCGCTGCAGTGCTCTACGCTTACTACTACTGAACTTCGTAATGAACTTCTTTTGTCTTTGTTCACCCTCTCTTTTTTCTTTTGTCCTTTTTGTCCCTCTTTCACGCGCTTTCTCTCTCCTCGCACAACTACTTTACTCATCGACTACCATCCATTCATTCCTCACTTTCCAGCCAAACCAAACCTCCTTTCATTTCGTTACACTTTTACTTTTTATTTCTATGCCTTTTCTTTGCTTTTCCTTTTTTTTATTTTTTTCTTCTTTTTTTTTTTTGCAAATCCAATTATTCGATAAAATTTCAATATAAATCTTCGTAAAATATTCAAAAATCATGATACAAATACAACTGGAAAGAAAATTTTCGATGCTCGATAAAACAATAAAGGTCACGCCATTTTCTTCATAATTTTGTCTCTTCTTATTAGAAATAGAATAAAGTTTTTTTTTATAATAAAATATTATCTTTTTAATCTCATGAAAATATTCTCGTCTTAACGTATAATAAATTACAAATATTATAGCTTAGAAATTATTTATAGTATAATAAGATGTTAGAGTTGCAAAAACGACTTTCTTTCATATTTCGAAAGATTTTAAGAATTATCAAATAAGTAATTAACTAACTAAATTGACAAGTTGACAAGAAGGAAAATTAATTAGTATGATAAATTTATGAATAGAATTTTATTTATATCGGTTTAAGATACAAGCGTCTTGTATACAAGTACAATTATTCGTACATAAAGTTAACGTATAATAGAAAAATTACGCCTGAAAATCAGCAACGATCTATACATCTATGTATACATGATATAAGGCTGTGTTACATACTTTCAGGTCCTATAGTCGCATATCGATATTTCGATGTATCGATTAAAGGTCGATATTACTATCGATATCTTTTCCTCACGCTGCACGGACATTACTATGTGTATATTGGACCAACGGCAATGCATTTGTATATATAATACATATATTGACTGATATTGACATTATGGCTAGTCCACGTACTCGACAAATTTTAAATCAATTAAAAGTCAAAGATGAAAATAACGTAAGACATTAATATACAAGTTTATCTGGAAAAAATGATTCCATTATGTACTATATCTTTTTATTTCTCAGAAATGTTTCGAATGTGGTACACATAATCCTCAATGGGCTTCGGTTACATATGGTATTTGGATATGCCTTGAATGCTCAGGGAAACATAGAGGACTTGGAGTTCATCTGTCATTCGTGCGATCTGTTTCTATGGACAAATGGAAAGACATAGAATTAGAGAAAATGAAAGTTGGTGGAAATAAACTTGCTCGAGAATTCTTTGAAGCTCAACCGGATTGGAGTAATTCCATGTCCATTTCTCAAAAATACAATACCAAAGCAGCTGCATTGTACAGAGATAAGGTCATATATTTTAATAAGATTTTATTTAATACAATTTCTATAAATCATATCAAAATTAATGTTATAATTTATAGATTGCTACATTAGCGCAAGGAAATTCTTGGAGTCCTACTGAATCTAAGATAACGGTATTTCAATCTCAAAAACAATCAGAACTACAAGAAAATTCTACTTATCAAAATGATTTGACTGCCAGTTACCAGAATGCTAATTCACCTGCCATTAAAGCACAAACAGAATCCTTTTTTGCTAGAAGGCAAAATGAAAATGCTAATCGTCCTGAGTAAGTAAATATTGTATCTTTTTATCGTTTTATTCTTATTTTCTAATTTTGTAGAAACATTCCGCCCAATCAAGGAGGTAAATACAGTGGATTTGGTTATCAAATGGAAGCACCTCCAAAAAGTATGTCCCAAGAATTCTTTGACAATGCAGTATCGTCTTTAACAAGTGTGAGATAATTTTATATCATTAAATTATTTTTTAAATTTATCTGTTTATAAATTACTTATCAAGTTTCCATAAGTATTCAAAAAGTTGTCATTATAGGGCTGGCAAATATTTTCTTCTAACGCATCAAAAATAGCATCTAAAGCTACAGAAAATGCTATTAAAATTGGAGAACTTGCTGCATCAAAGGTAAATACATAAAATTTTACATCATTTATAATAACGTTAAATATTTTATAATTAAAAATATTTGACAGGTAGGAGATTTTGGAAGGAAAGGCTGGGGTGATATTGGTGGTACAAATACAGCAGAGCAAAGTCAATATAGTGTTGGAGAACATTATCAAAATTCATCAAACACTTATCAAAATAATATTGATAAACAATCATGCTCTAATGAAAAATCATCTTTAATAACTGGTTCTAGTATGAAGTAAGTATATCAAGAAATATTTTATTTTATAAATTTATACATACATACATACATATGAAAACTTGAAATCTGTTTTAGGAATTCTCCCACTTATCCAAGTTCAGATAATTCTAATTGGAATTGGGGAGATGAATCAGAACAATCAAATGATACATCAGCTGATATAAACTTGTCTTCAAAAAGTTAAAAATAGAAATTTGATAGCACTGTAAAAGTATAACTGTCTCTATTTCTTAAGCAGATAAATGGAATTCCGAATTTAAAATAATTTCATAGAATGAAATTTAAAAAAGCTAATTGTATTATCTTGTGTAAATTATTTTATCAAAGTTTATAATATTTAGTTATTTCTTGCATTTATTATGAACAGCATTAGACTAGATTGAATATAAAGTATAATTTATTCTCTTATAAATTCATGTTTTTATAAATATGTAATGTATAACTTACTAATATATATATATACTCATTTTGCAGTGCATGTACTTTACGATAATTTTAATGGTTTTATGATAAATATTTTTAAAGATAAAATTATAATTATCATTTAATAATAATAGATATACAATGATAAATTAATATAGTTATTTCATCTTAATCATAAAATCACTTGCATATGTAATCTATAAAAAGAAATTGTACAGCCGCATGAAAGTAAATGTTAATGTCATATAAAAATGTTTATTACAGTTATAAAATACATTATAATATCACAGTTATCAAAAGTAATTACATTTTATTATAAGTCTATATTAAACACCCAATGAATGGTTTCCAATCATATTACCATTATATTATAATTCACTTACAACTTTTGTATAATTTTGAATACAACTTTATTTTTTATATAGTTTATTTAGAAGTTTTTCTGTAAAATAAAGAAAGCAATTAAATACATATATTTTATACAAATTTCAAATAAATGAGAATAAAATATATCAACCTAAAATTACTTACTTGCCCGAATAAGTTTTTACATTTTTCTTTTGGTTAAGAAGTTTTTCAAGATATAATATGACATCTTGATGATGTGTATTTGTAATTTTTTGAATTACTTCTGACAAACTCTCATAAAGTATTTCTTGATTCTGTTCTGAAAGTTTAGGTATTTCACAGCCACAAGACAACTTATAAAGAAAACGATAAATTTCTCTGAAAAAAAATATAATTTTGATAGATAATAAAAATAAAACAACTATTTAAAACTATTTAATTATAATACCAATACATTCGAGTAGAATTAAACCTTAATAACAACTTAATTAAACATAATATTTTCTATCTATATAATCACCTATAATCATATATCCTGTCTGTAGAGGACGAATGTTTCTCAAATAAACATATAAAAAGTAATGCTTGTCGAATCAATGTATTTTTGTTTTTAAATGGTTCACTCTGTAGCCAATTATTTATTAAAGGTTGTTTATCTTTCTTTATAGCTTTTGATTTAATCTTTAATTCATTTATCATAGCTTCAATATTTTCTTGAGATCTGTTTGGTATCAATGTAGATATACTGGCTACATTTTTATGACTATATAGTTTAAGACCTTTTAACAATAATAATTTTTCACTCCTAGTCCATCTTTTTTCAAGTGAGGAGCTGCATCCGGCATCCTTATTTACTGTATCACTCATTTTAAATATTAAACAGAAAATGCCACATATAATTATTTGTTTATAATCAGCTGTTATACTATGTTACTGAATTGTATCATGTAATTATACTATAGTATACTGAGGCATACTGACTAAGATATGTTCCTTCTTTCACATATTATAGAACTTTTAAAAAACGTCAAATAGTCGTTAGAGTCTGCGTAATCTAGCGGCAAACTGTAAAACTTTTTTACAAGACCTCAGTATACGAAATACAGAATTTTTCGATAGTAAATTAAATTAAGAAAAAAAATATCCATAATGAAATTTTAAACGATGAATATTCGCTTGTTTAAGACTCAGAGCCTATATCAAATATTACTAATAAACAACCACAGTTTATATAACAACTTATGATAAATAGAATATCTCTTATTCGTAATAGATGAAGCTTAACTAATTTTAAGGATTGTTCTCAAAAGTCACAAATGAACGAATGAGATTGGTGACTTAAATATCTTATAAAACAATCACTTTCGATCGATTGCACCACTCAGGAAACAAAATTAATTTCAACATTCGATAATCTCATTAATTTGATACTATATTACAGAAAAATAAAAATAAAATTTTGTACATTTTTATCAAATATATAATTAAAAGAAAATTATCTTAAGAATATTACATGATCACTCGCATGAATATTAGCATGCGCAAGTGATATGCGCAGTAGAATTATAATGCATTGCGCACTCGCAATGTAGCCAGAGGATATGGACTGCAGTAGCGAAGAATACTTTGATCATCTTTCCTCACTTGACCGGCCATGATGTTAAGCGCCGTATCGAGGGCAGCCGCTGGAGCCCTAAGGGCCGTCAAACCCACCCTTTTTCAAAATGAAGTTGTGAAAGTAGCTACTACTGTTTCAGTAGACAGTAAGTACATTAAAGTTTCTTTTCAATACTTTATGATATCTTATAGAAAATTATGTTAACATCCTTATCCCATTTTCTCTATTTCGTTCGTCATATAATATTGTAAGAAGAAACGTAATCTATTTGAAATGTATTCTAGTTTCTGCTATTATCGTAAAAAAAAGAGTTATGCGAAAAGAAATCATAATTAAAATTGTCATTTACGAATGTTAAAAAATGTGTTCTGTGATTCGATTATATAATCTATATTATTTGAGCGGATCAGTAAGATACTATTTTACCAATATGGCGATTATATAGTCTTCTGAATTATTCTCTTAAAATAATATTTTTGAAACTTATTGAACATTGAGAATATTTATAACTATCTGCGATTTCTTTAAAATTCGTTATGTTGGAAATATTTAATGTACTGGTTTCATTTTTGTCAAGTGACAAGTTAAGTATTTTTCATTTGTTTGAAATTTAAAATCATTATAACTATATATAAGAAAAAAGAAATAAATTATTTATCATTGATTATAATAACCAAAGGAAACTATATAAAGAATTCTAATAAAAAAAAACACTGTATATGTTTTGTATTATGTAACAACATTTTCACAAGTGTTATGTAGTCTATTTCTTTTTTCTAATTATCAGATTACTTTATAAATTTTTTATATTTATTAATACAAACTTTTACATACTGTTGATTTCTAATATTATATTAATTTATTTTATTTTTTAGAGAAAAATTATGCCAAAGCAGCAGCCTCTAAAGGTGGTGCTCAGGGTAAAATTGTCGCTGTCATTGGTGCTGTTGTGGATGTACAATTCGAAGATGCTCTTCCACCTATTCTTAATGCGTTGGAGGTACAGAACAGAAGCCCTAGGCTAGTACTAGAAGTAGCCCAACATCTTGGAGAAAATACTGTGCGTACTATTGCTATGGATGGTATGTATATATATTTAAAACATGAATATATAAAACAATCATAAAATGTATGTTATTTTTATATAACGTCAAATAAATAAGTTGATATATGCGTATCATAAACTGTTCTGCCCCGATGTATTTATAGGTACTGAAGGTTTAGTACGTGGTCAGGGTGTTTTGGATTCTGGTTATCCCATCCGTATTCCTGTTGGTGCTGAAACCCTGGGACGTATTATTAATGTAATTGGTGAACCAATTGACGAACGTGGACCCATTGGTACAGACAAGTTAGCCCCTATCCATGCAGATGCACCTGAATTTGTAGAAATGTCCGTAGAACAAGAGATCTTAGTTACAGGAATTAAAGTCGTAGATTTACTTGCTCCTTATGCCAAAGGAGGAAAGATTGGTAAGATTTAAATTCTAGTTATAACCTTAAATATATTATAGTCCTCTTTATTATACATCTCGCTTATACTTTGCTTTTGTTAAATAAAGGTCTATTTGGTGGTGCTGGAGTTGGTAAAACTGTGCTTATTATGGAGCTTATCAACAATGTTGCTAAAGCTCATGGTGGTTACTCTGTATTTGCTGGTGTAGGAGAAAGAACGCGTGAAGGCAATGACTTGTATCATGAAATGATAGAATCTGGTGTTATTTCCTTAAAGGATAAAACTTCTAAGGTAGCACTTGTCTATGGTCAAATGAACGAACCACCAGGTGCTCGTGCCCGTGTAGCTTTAACTGGTTTGACAGTAGCAGAATATTTCCGTGATCAAGAAGGACAAGATGTACTATTATTCATTGACAACATTTTCAGGTTCACCCAAGCTGGTTCAGAGGTGTGTTGCTGGTAGTTATGTATAAAATTTAAACACAATTCAATTGATATTTTAATATGTTTTCTTAAAGCTTATTAAAATTATTTGTTATTCTCTTTTTTTTTATTCTTTTTTTTTTTTTTTTTTTTTTTTTTTTTTTTTTTCTTGTAGGTATCAGCTTTGTTAGGACGTATTCCATCAGCTGTAGGTTATCAACCAACCTTAGCAACTGATATGGGTACCATGCAGGAACGTATTACTACAACTAAAAAGGGATCTATTACTTCCGTACAAGCCATTTATGTACCTGCAGACGATTTAACAGATCCTGCTCCTGCCACTACCTTTGCCCATTTAGACGCAACTACTGTACTGTCGCGTGCTATTGCTGAGCTGGGTAATAATATTTTTGTTATAATATATATTTTGCTTAGGACTACTACATGACATATTTATGAAACCTTATATATATATATAATTTGTAATTATTTTAATTATTCATAAATAGGTATCTATCCAGCTGTGGATCCGTTAGATTCGACATCTCGTATTATGGATCCCAACATTATCGGCCCTGAACATTACAATATCGCTCGTGGTGTACAAAAGATTTTACAAGATTACAAATCCCTTCAAGATATCATTGCCATTTTAGGTATGGACGAATTGTCTGAAGAAGATAAGCTTACAGTTGCACGAGCACGTAAAATTCAAAGGTTCTTGTCTCAACCCTTCCAGGTAAAAATTATTTCGTTTATTTCTCTTCTTTCTCTGTATTATGAGATATTCATCGAGAAAATGTCGTTAAATAGGTTGCTGAAGTATTCACTGGCCATGCTGGCAAATTAGTACCATTACAAGAAACCATTAAAGGATTCCAAAAGATTTTAGGTGGAGAATATGATCATCTGCCAGAAGTTGCATTCTACATGGTGGGTCCGATTGAAGAAGTAGTAGCTAAAGCTGAATCATTAGCGAAACAATAAATTGTATTTGTTAAAAATCACCATAAACATACCATAAGTCTATGAAAATCATCCAATAGTTAACGTTTATCTTTTATTTATGGTAAATAATATGGCATTTTCGCAAAAAAATAGTTAATATTTTAAAATTGTTTAGTTTTACTTTAAAGTAAAATATAATATTGAAATATACTATATATAATAAAATTCATAAAATTGTTAAACTTTCAAAAACATAAGTAAACAAATTTTATACAATTCGCGATGTAAATTTTGTTTTAAAAAATATCCTTATTCATATATCATCGCAGTGATCATATTACCAATAACATATACAATTTTATAGTATATGTTAAGTATAAATAAAAATAATTAAAAAGAATACGCGTTTGTAACTTTGAACAAACCTATATAACAAACCATAATCTTTGTATTTATTTCTTTTGGTCCTTTTTGATACAATATGGATATACATAAAAATATGTATTTTGAATGATACAAGGTGATTATTTCTTATAAAATTACTATATGAATTTATTCATATTTTAAGAGCGAGAGCAAGGAGTAGCCCCAAAATCAAGCATAGGTTTCTCTAGTCTGTATGTATCCTTTAGAATCTAAAAAGAAATCGGTTTTATAAAATCAAAAATTTTAGATTTTTATTTGTATATAATTAGATTAATGCTAATAATTACTTTCCATTGCTCCATATTTAAAGACATAATATTCTGAATATTCATGTGTGTCCCAATTTGTTTCCTTTGTAATGTCATTTCTTTAGAACATAGTTGAATGACAAGTATTCCTGTATTATCTACAATAATAAAATATAAATATGATTTCTCTCATAGAGAATAAAGTAATTACCTCTTTCCAGTTTTATAATACCATCTCTAATAAGAAATGATACATATAACATATTTTCAATTGTTTTTCCAAAATCATCTGGATGTAAAATTAAACAATAAAAATCCAATGGCTTTTGATTTATTTTGTAATAATATTTGATAAATTTCTTAATTTTATCTACTGTCTCTTCTACACTTTCCTCATCTTTATTAACAACTACCACATTTTCTGGTGATTTCATTATAGCTTGAGCTTCTTTAATTGTTGATTTTTTATTAACTATTTCTTTTTTTTCTAGTGGTGTCAATAAACCTAAAAATAAATAAAATCATTATTTTTATCTTAATTTCACAATTATTTTTATATAAGTATCTTATAAATTACCAAGTAAAGTAGTATATTCAGGTATCCTTTTAAAAGATCTTGTTACTTCTGTTTCTAAAACAGACCAATCTGGATTTTCTAATAATTCATCTGGGAGCTTACGTGTATATTGTAACTGAGATATAAAAATATATGTTATTACATTCATGATACTATCCCTGTATCTGTTTATTATATTTCATTAAATACTTACAATCTTTTTTGCAAAATCTACATGATTATATGAACTTATATTTTGCGTTAAAGATTTAGTACATCTTGTCAAAATTTTGGATGAAATATTTATTGCTTCAGAATCCAAAAATATTTCTTCCTGATTGTTCACTGAAAAAACAAGCTACATTTATATTAAAATATTTTTCTTAATAAGATAAATCTTTATAAAAAATAATACTCTTTTCATTAAGGCTTGTTTCTAGAACAGCATTATCGCCTTCTTTCATAACTTCTTCCAAAGCTCTAAGATCATTAACACCTAAATGTTCATTCCTTTCTCCTAAAAAAATAAAATAAGATTACTAAGAAAATTAAATTAAAACAAACAAAATATTACTTACGAAGAGACAATGCACAAGACAAAGCATTCCATAGAATTTCTTTCCGTTGTTGAGGTGATCGAGTTACCGATGACCTCTCTGATTGATTGGCACTATCTGGCATATTTTTATAACTTATTTTGTGTACAAAATAGAAACTTTATATATATATAAGCATATATAATCCTTTCTGTTGATTATTTAGGGACCTGAAAAATTATTGAAAATACAAAGATTATAAATAATATTAATAAAGATTGTTTATTTGTATATTGTAACTTCCAAATATATAATAAATGCTATAATTAGAACCTTCCATATACCCAATATAAATATTTTAATAATAAATGTTATCACAAATTAACAAATTTAAAAATTAACAAATTTTATCGAAGTTTATCAATTTTATAAAGAATCTTAACAATATTATAGAATGAGATAAATAATAAATGAGGCAAATGTATACTTAGATGAATTTTTAAAAACTATGACGAAAATATGCAACTTTGTGATTCTTGATTACATCAATTTATTTTTATCATAAAAATGAAAATCGAATAATTAATTAATTTATTTATTTAAATTAACAAAAATAGATTTAAATATACTTGCTAAATAATTATTTTCATCTGATTCGATCTTCATCGATCTATTGTACTTTTTAACGACTTCGAGAATCAAAATTAGATTCTCGAATTGTTTCTAGTTAAAAAATTATAAATAAGAGAATATCAATCTAATCAATCTTATGATTTTATTAAATTAATAAAATATAATCAATCGAAAAAAAAATTAAATATCGTAAATTATATACTCACACGCTTTGTTTTTAATTGATCGTAGATATATTATAGAAAGGAACGAAGTTCACAAAAGCAGGTGGGCTTGGATGGAATCAAAACGTGCTGCAACTTTGACAGTTCGTCGTTTTGTCGTGCGCATTCGAAGTTTTGTCGATAAAAATTAAGAAAAAATAATGGAAGAAAATAATGCTAAAGTAATATGTTTCGAAAAAGATATTAATGAAATAATAATAATATTATTTACAAAACGTTAATAGGGCGTATTTTTAACAAATTGAATTTTCAGACTGATCAGAACAATCAAGATGACTCAGATTCCGAGGTGGACGAAATTGAGCCAAAACTTAAATATGTTAGAATGCGAAATGATTTGGAACATATTTTACAAAATGATGCTGCTAGTTGTATCGCTGTGCATCCTAAGGTATGAATAATGCCTTTTCAATAATATGTCTTACGTAGAGAGAAATTATTCATAAATATATTTGATAGGAGAGGTTAACTATTGTTCGTATATTTATCTTCGCCATAATATATTTCAGTTTCTTTGTTTGGGATCACATTGGGGAATGATACATCTTTTAGATCATCAGGGCAATAATATACAATCAAAAACTTTACAAGCACATATTGTTGCTGTCAACCAAATTTCTATTGATCATAATGGTGACTTCATTGCATCTTGCAGCGATGATGGCAAAGTTTTTATTTATGGTTTATATAGCACAGAAAATAATCATAATATAAATCTTAGTAGACTTGTCAAGAGTATAGCTATTGATCCTAATTATTATAAAAGTGGTAGTGGAAGAAAATTTATTACAGGTATTTCAATTTGTCTTATAAAAAGTATTAAAAGTAAAATAAAGAACATTATAAGATAATTGTATTAATTTTTAGGAGACGACAAATTAATTTTATATGAAAAAACATTTTTATCCAGAATGAAGTCAACAATTCTTTCTGAAGCAAAAGATGGAGTAAGATCTATAGCATGGGCTGGTCAATTCATAGCTTGGGCATCTGGTACAGGTGTCAGAGTATATGATTCAAATGCTAGATGTTCTTTAGGTCTTATTAAATGGACTAAAACCGAAGAGTAAGTAGTATATTCTAAATTATTTCACTTGCAATCTATATATAAAGATATTATTTCAGAAATGTTTTCAATGCCATGTTTCATATAGAGCGCTACCAGAACACTATAGATGTAATCTTCGTTGGTCAGATGATCGAACATTACTAATTGGATGGGTGGATATAGTGCGTATTTGTCAAATAAAAAAGAGATCAGTACAGGAAATGGTTAATAGAGATTTACCTGAATTCGTGGTAGATCCAGGTAAATTATTTATTATTTATATTTGTTTAATAAAAAAAAATCATAAACTTATATTTTATAATATGATTTTAATTTTAGTTTCAACATTTCAAGTGGATTTTTATATATCTGGTATTGCACCTTTAGACAATCAACTGGTATTGTTAGGATGCTTAAAAGAATTAGATAATGATGGGAAAAGTCAAAGACCAATTTTGCACATTGTTGAGCCAAAGTGCGAAGACTTTTCTGTAATTTGTGCAAATCCATTGACTTTGCGAGGTTATAAAGAGTATAGCTGTAATGACTATCATTTAGATTGTTTAACAAATGAAAACAGGTAAGAAATACTTCATAATATTTTTATTATAAAGTATATGATTTATTATTTAATAGAAATAACTTAAATATTTTATGTATCTAGGTTTTTTATCGTAAGTCCAAAAGATGTAGTTGTAGCAAGTTTGTATGATTGTGATGATAGGATTGAATGGTTAATAAGCCATCGAAAATTTGAACAAGCATTAGAAGTTGTTAGTGGTAGTGATGGAAAAGATTGTAAAAGATATACTTTAGTCAATGTGGGTCGTCTGTATTTGGATCATCTATTGGCTTGTGAAAAGTATGATGAAGCAGGAAAATTGTGTCTAAAAGTTTTAGGCCGGAATAAAAAATTATGGGAAGAAGAGGTTAGTTGTTTTACATGATAATTAAATTTTTGTCATGCTTAGAATTAAAAATATTTTATGTTAACAGGTATATAAATTTGCAAGGGTTCATCAATTAAGATCAATTTCTTCTTACCTCCCACGAGGTGATGTAACTTTAGATCCATTAATTTATGAGATGGTTTTATATGAATATTTGAAAATAGATCCAGATGGTTTTCTTGAATTAGTTAAAGAGTGGTCACCAACATTATACACAGTTGCAGCTGTTGTTAATGGTGTTTTGGAACATCTTATAGTTCATAATCAACGACAAAATGTTCTTTTAGAAGCTTTAGCAATTTTATATATTCATGATGGAAAATATGATAAAGCATTAGCAATGTATTTAAAACTTAGACACAAGGGTGTATTTTATTTGATACAAAAATATCAATTATATTATTCTATATATGATATGATTGAAAAATTAATGGATTTAGATGCAGAACGTGCAATACAATTTTTTTTGGAAAAAGAAAAAGATGAAACGCAGAAAAAAAAAGAAAAGTTCAGAGTACCACCTGAAATTATTGTTCATGAATTGCGACACAAATATTTTTACTTATATTTGGTATGTTAATAATAAATATATAAATTACGAACAATTGAAAGAAATTAAACACATTTATAATATAATTATATGATTTTTTAAATACTACTTTATAGTATCTAGATGCTTTAGACAAAAAAGATACAAATGATTCCAAAGGCAAATATCATGGATTACTGGTTCAACTATATGCAGATTACGCTAGAGATAAACTACTTCCACTTTTACGTCGTTCTGATAACTATCCGATACAGGAAGCATTAGATATTTGCAGTCAACGAAAGTTCTATCCAGAGATGGTGTATCTTTTAGGAAGAATAGGAAATATATCTGAAGCTTTGGCTCTTATGACTAGAGAATTAAATGATATGGAAAGTGCTATTGCTTTTTGTCAGGAACATGATGATGAAGAATTGTGGAATGATTTAGTAAATTATTCTTTGGATAAACCAAGTAAATAATGACTTGCAATATATCTTAGATTAATGTTTTTTAAGTTTAATTAGATTCTTTAGATTAAGTAGATTCTTTTTCTTCTAGAGGCTATCACATTTCTTCTTCAAAAAATTGGAACATATGTTGATCCTAGATTAATGGTACAGAGAATAAATCCATCTTTAGAAATACCTGGCTTAAAAAAAGCTTTGGTTAAAATGATGTGCGATTATAATTTGCAAGTATCTATACAAGAAGGATGTAAGAAAATTTTATCTAATGATTATTTTGATCTTCATGAAAGATTGGTTCGTTGTCATCAAAAAGGTATACTTATAAACGGTATGTATTTTGAGTAATAGTTCGTATATCTATAAGAAATATTTGTAATATATCACTATGCTTTAATTAATCTTTATTTTTTATTCATTTAGATGATCAATTGTGTGGAGCTTGTCATAGAAAAATAATTATGGGAGGTATAAATGATAAATATATCTTCTTTAAAATAATTTGAAAAATATTTTTTGTTTCTTTTTTATAAACAAAATAATATTTGAATTTTTATTGCAGAATCAAAAAATTTAGTCATATTTTATTGCAAGCATTCATTCCATGAGGACTGTTTACCAAACTTCAAATTAGTGGTATGTAATGTTATTGTACATTAATTATAATATTTCTTTTTGAGAATTATAAAATTTTTTATATGGTTATTAAATGTTTTAGGAAAATTGTGTAATTTGTAATTCACAAAAAGAGACTTCACCAGGTAGGAAATGATACAGGTAAGATCTTTCAATAAATATTGTTTAAATCATGCATATAGGTAAGACACATTCACATAGCTTAAGAATATGTTAATTTGTTTAATAACACAGTCGACTTTTTTTGATAATTATCATTGCTTATATTTATTTGATATAAATGTTTCATTTCGAAATATTTTCTTCATTGTGAATTAACTTATAAGTCATAATCATACCAATTAATAAATGGTTCTTTATCAATTATTATAATTAATAAAAAAATATATTTTCTACTTCATAAGAATGAATGCAAAACAAAAATAATAAATTATAATATATATTTTGTTTCGCATATACAATAATAATACATATAAAAATTATTTAATAATAATTATTTAAAAAGTTTATGAATCTTTAGAATTATATTTGAAATTCTTTTTATCATTTTTTAAATATTTTTATTCTCTATGGAAGTATCAAAAGTTAATATAGGTGTGTTGTCGCTTTCGTTTTTTTTTGTTCGGTAGAAATCATATCATTTGAGGACAGTGAATCAATAGAATAATGAGAACTTGTTGATTCTTTGAATAATTGATTTTGCTATAAATATGTAATTAACAAAGTATAGCATATTTTTCTACTACTTTAAAATTATACCTAACTATGATAAATACTTGCCATTCTGCAACTTGTGCATAAAGGATAAAAATCACACATATTTGAATGTCTTTGTTGTGTAGGTATAGTGATCTTTGAAATTTGTTCCGTTGAAATAAATTCCTGACTTTCTGGACATACGGAAAATGCCTTAAAAAATTGTATTGTAAAATCTACTACATGGAGAGGTTTCACTGCAAAAATTAAAATAAAGTATCAGGGCGCTTGAGATAAGTATATCAGTAAATCTCTTTGTGTATTTGTATAATATATATATTAATTAATGTAAAAAACACTCTATATCGAATAATATTATAAATATTTTATTGTATTATATATATATATATATATATATATATTCTTGTATAGACTGAATTATTCTTGATATTACCTTGCATAAATTAAATTATTGCTAAGTTTGCTTACCAATTAGTAATGTTTGTGTATAGTCAGCTATTAAATGCTTTACTTCAACATGATTAATTAAATATTCTATGAACTTTGTTACTTCATTACACTGTAAAATAACTATCAATCATTATACATAATTGTATAATCAATTGTCTAATATACATTGATAATGTAATCTATACTTTTTCGTCTAAATATTTAGAGAATATCTCCATATCCTCTGCCCAATAATTATTTCGTATTGCTATTCTAAGTTTTTGAGTCATTGGATTTACATTTTCTAAAGATTTGCTTTTTAACATGTAAGATGTTGACAACCAATTGTGTTCTAATATTTTTCCTTTTGGTGTTAAATACGTTTTCATACTTTCTACATTTCCATTTTGATTTTCTATTAAACGTTCAATTGTGTACACTTTTATGTAACTTTTATATAATTTCATACATTCTGCAGGAGTGCACTTCTATATTGAAAAATTGAAGTAATTCATGATGAATAGAAAATTGGGTATTAAAATAAATATAAATGGAACAATGTAATAATAAAATGTATAATAATGTGTCTAACATATTGACATGTAGTGATATTTCCATCAATCATTATGTTTTGAAATGTTAATGTTCCATTATAGTTAATTATTGTGAGATATCTCATAAGTAATAAATTTGTGCCTTCACTTAATAGTTTTATATTCTGTGGATATATTAGATTTTTACAATTCCTAAATCTGTTATGTTGATATGTTTGACTTGTTTCTACATAATAACTATTGTCCTGAATTCCCATAAATAATGTTTTTTCATTTAAGCTGCCTTTATGATATACATATCTGGGAAAGAAATTATTTTTATAATAATAGAAAAAAAAAAATAGTAAAAAATATTTATGATAAACCAACTCTGTCCTTTTTTCTTCCAGGCAGTTGAATTTGTCTGTTGATGAACAAACGACTTTTGATCCACCAAAATAATCATCAGTATTTATGCAGAATTTTGTATTAATTAAAAATTCATGTTTTTGAGGACCGATATTTTCTACAGAAATGCAACAATTTCCTATCGAATTTATCTGCGTGATTATTTCATTTTTGAGACAAATCAACAAAGTTTCTTTAAAACACAATGCTGCTAATCTGTTATGATCTAATGAAATATAACAAGAGTATTAACTTTCTAATTAACATTTTCTTTTTACATTATATTTCTAATTGTATATTATTCACAAAGTATTTCTATATAAAATAGATCTTATTTAATTTTACATATATTTATATTTTTTTTTCAATCAAATATAGGATTAATAAACATATCTAAGAGTTTTTATTAATTCTGAATTTAATATTAAAAAATTATTTCTCATGCAACATGACGAAAATAATATAAATTAAATTTACCAATGGGAAATTTGAGAATCCATTCCTGTGGATTAGACGATTGAATAAATGTATCAGCCATTGAAACAAAAATGAGGTTTGTTGATACACTGGTCTGTTCTAATCAATACTATACGGTTTATATTAAAACAAATGATGTTAACAGTAATTCTATTGTTTTCAAAAGTTAAAATTGTGGACGTGTGTGTTCTATATATATGGATGTAAGAAGAATAATTGGTCCAACAAACATTGTTGAAGTTCAACATTTTTTTATAAAAATTAAAAAATAATTTTTTTATATTCTATTTAATTTTATATTATTTTACTTATTAATACTGATCTATTTAATTATAACAATTTTATGTATTACAAAAGAATAGAAAATCAGATGTTTATATTACTTTGAAAAATATTTGAAATTCAAATAATTTCATCATTAATAAATTATAATAACCATTGTACATAAAAGTTTTCTACATAAATAGATTTCTAAAATACAGTCATGTATTAATTGTACATACAACATATAAATTTCTACAACAATTTTGTATTCGACAAAAAAATTTCCCGCCAAATGATTCAAATCTTTTCATATTGATACAGTAAAATCTAAGAACGAAATTATTACTGTATTATTAATAATTTATAAAAATAGAAACAAAAAGTTTATCAAGAAGAAACAATAAAATTATTGTAGAATACTGATATTAAAAAAATTATTTCATAATATTGACTAGCCAAGTAAAGTGACATGACTTATGTAGTCTTGTCATATTTTGAACGGAGATAAAAAATATGAAATGAGAATTGGAACATCGTGAAGTATTTCAAAAGTAAAATAAAGAATTTAATAATTCTTAATTATTAATTTGAGATAGATTAATTGATTCAGAGAAATTAATAATTTATTTTCGTACACAAAAAATGAACGATTCTAATTATGAATATATTGCATCAATTCCGCATAAGAGTGAATTACGTTGCATTATTTGCGAAGTTGATTTTATGAAAATTCAGGACTTACCAATAAAATCGAACTATCATTGGCAAATATTAAAATGCCGGTAAAAATGACCGTAATTTATTAAATTATCTGTAATATTAATAATTTTTTCATTAAAATGTAGATGCACTTTTTTTTATATATATAATGACGATTATTACATTACATTTTAAATTATATGATCAACGTACGTAAATTTATATTTTAGAATGATAATTCAAATTATTCAGGAAGTAATAGCGTCGCCAATATTAGGAACACCTGGTTTAATATATGTTATTGCTACCAAAGAATTCATTGAAAGCAACAATCTGAAAACGCATTTAAAACATTTGGATATTTTAGTAAATCTTTTATTTATATATTTAACTATATTTTATTCTAATAATTTCAATTTATTAATATTTATAATGTTTTAAATAACAATGTCATTTTAATTTACTTCTTTTTGTAAGTATGTGGACTCACAAGAAGTTTCCATGGATATATATGCAAAGTGCCTTAATTACACAATGGAATGTAAAATAGCACCATTGTGGAACAAAGTTGGGCAATATTATGTTCATGGAATGAAATTTTATATAATAACAGAAGAGTTTGATGCATTAAAAGTAAAAGTCGTTATAAATGGTACTGTGCCGGTCATTGTTATTATTTATACTTGGTTCATATAAGTTTCATATATATATATATGTATATATATATATGATAAATTCTACTTATAAATGACATTATGATTAAATAGAAAAAAAATTTTAGATGAAAATACACAATTATACTTCTATCCAATAAAGATCAAAATACCACTTATACAACTAGAAGACTTAGGCTTATTAGATTCATTGATAAGAGAATTTCAAGCTGATGACAATGGTATTATTGATTTAAGTAAATATTGCCATTCTGTACACATTCTGCCTAGGTATTCATTTATTATATTGAAAATATTTGGTTTTTATATATGAATAATATACTCTGTAAATATAATTAATAATATTTTCTATTAGTATGAGAACGGCGAGACTAGTATCTATATCTAAAAAAATTCCTTCTAAATGCCCCTTTGCAAATTATGATGAATTACGTAAATATTGGATAGATATGGTATTTATATAATTTGTATACCATTATATTATTATTTATTTTTATAAAACTAATACGTACTATAATATTATGAATATCATATTTAAACAAAATTTAAATTTTTAGAATGGCTATTATTTACCAATTACCGAAGATGGTATTATGTATTACGAAGTCAAATTTCATTCATTTGAAGCTAATAGTTTTATATATCCCAGTGTATGTGTAATAAAAGGACCTATTCAATATATCCCTCGTAAAGATGCAAATAATATAATTTCACAATTTATTAATGACTTATATAATACATTGAACAAAGTATGTGATAAACAGTTGTATATATACAATAATAATAAAGAAATAGATCATCAATTTAAATCATCAGACGAGGTATTTACAATTAAATAAATTAATTTTACAGGACTATATTATAAGTCATTTTATATGTTTTCATAATTACTTAACAGAATACAAGTAAAGTACAAAACCAACATTACTTATTATTAACAAGGAACAAAGAATTAATCGGTAATAATGTTACCAATAATATGATTAATAATATGGACAATATGATTGATAAAAATTTTAACCAACAATTAGAGCCTAGAACTGGATATGGATATAATACTACGATAAACTTCAGTAAATTTGAATATCTTGTATTAAAACCATTTACTGTCTTATCTAAAATCCATGTTATTAATTTGTATTATTAATCTAGGCAAATCTATCAAAACCACGAGTTCATTAAATGTTAAAGAATCAAATGATAGAGAAAATTGTATTTATAATTTAGAAACATGTAAACAACTCATGAAATTTAAAAGAAATAAACAAATAAGTCAACCCTCTTTAAATACTTCTTTGACAATAAAAAATGAAACTCAAACTGTCGAAAACGAAGTACAAATAGAGAATGAAAATACCTCTGCATTTTTTAAAGAAATAAACTTATTGTTAGATCAGAAAACGTTTTACAAGGTAACTACTTGTTTATTATTTTCATTATTTTATTATTTATTTTTTTTTATTATTTACTTTTTATCGATTACTATTCATCCATTTCAAAAGTTTTAAATAAAAAAAATTTAATGTAAGATATGTTCTATTTAAACAGTCTCAAATGAAAAATAATACATTTGCTAATGCAACATTAAAACAAAAACTATCAAATGCAATGTGTACTACCAAATTTGTGAGTATTTATTATAAATTTTATATAATGAACATAAATTTACAAAATAATAATCGAAGTTTTTAATGTATAGGGAAAAACTATTGATTTAGAAACATTAGCAAAAGATAATAAGTTAGGTGAAGTATCAAATATTATTTTAAGCAATTGGTTGTATAAACACCTAATTCCACATAATAGACAAGCAAAAAAGGCTGACTTAATTGAAAAAGTATTAACACAAATAAGAAGTACGAAAAAATATGTATAATTTATAACAAAAAATATATATTTTTTCCTCTGTAAAAAGGTTTAATTTAACAATAACAACATTTTCTTTTGAATCAATATCATTGTAAATGGTTTTTATTCATACATTAATAAATAAACATAAAAACTACGTTCCTCCCATAAATGTTAAGATTAATTTACATCTACATTATTCTGTAATTAGTTGGCAAAAAGAGATCTGTTATATTAATGATTGAAATATTAGTCAATTTAAATAATTTACAAAAAGGAACACAATCAATAATTATATTCATATTAAATAGGCATTTTCAATCAATATATTATCAATACTTATTTGCCTATTTTTACTTTTTCATAATATAACATAACATAACATAATTGAACACAATCACCAGTTTAATCAAAATGAAAATATTTATTTTATGGAATTTGAACAGAATTTTTTAAAGAATAAATTTTTTTTCTTTTCTTTCTTTTCTTTCTTTCTTTCTTTCTCTTTTTTTTACTTTTTTTTTGTTTTGTTTTTTTTTTCTTTTTTTTTTTTTTTTAATATAGGAAATTGTATATTAAACTTAAATCAAGATTTACACAGATAAAAGATAAAAAGAGAACGAAGATTCAGTACAAAGATTCATGGTTTTGGTCATTAATTTAATAATTAATATTAATGATAAATATTTATAAAGAATTTTTATAAAAACATTTATAAAGAATATTTATCATTATTATTAATTATTTTGTGTGTGTGTGTGTGTGTGTGTGTATGATGTGGTGTGATGTGTATATTAATATAATAAATTTTATATAGATACATATATCGTTGGAAATACTAAACACTTTTTTACGTTAGTGGCAAATAATCGAAACTGTATAAATTGTTTCAATATTCTTAAATTAATATTATTACACTAATTTACTCGACATACGTGTTTCGCTTATATATCTAATGTTATAAATTTCAATTTAAGTAACACGCACCATCGTCAGGAAATTTACCATGTGGGACGCAATCAGAGTTTAGATTATAAATTGTTAGAGTTACAATTTTGACATTACTTTTCCATTCAAAATTATATCACTTGAATGGAAATTATGTGCACTACATATTGTCTTAGGTCCATCGTTCCTCAATCAATTTATATATACAAAAGTTCAGCACATAATGCTATTTCAACTAGGTTTTAACACATACATACTTAGGCGCATGAGGCACAAAAGCTGTATGTATATGTGTTTGCTCATTTATTATTTTATACAAAATTGGTATATTTTGTAACTTAAAAGCTGTTTGATAAGTAGCGATGATGAGAAAATAAGACATAATAAAATTATGTAATTATAATTTGAAGTAATAGCTAAAAATAATGATATTTTTACATTATTTATTTTACTTGTATCATTTCTTAAATTGTAAATTTAGTAGAATAATTATTTATGTAGAATATTAATAATAATAGATATTAAAACGTATAGCTGTTCTTCCAATAATTAAATATATTCAACAGATCATCTAAAATGCATCTATCGATGAATATACTTTGTATATTCGTCTCTTCTTCATTAGAATATTCTTAACACAAAATCTTGACATATTTTTAGCATTTCTTTTTTTTAGAGAAGAGACCTCATTTTATTACTATTAGAAGTCATATTAATACAAAATCTTACCATTAATTGTATACAAATTAATTATATATCATTATAACATAAACTCAATAATTTTAATATCTTGTAGGCACGTATGATCATTGTCGTGATTATAATCTGATTATTTATTATTATTTCAAAATAGGTCCAGCCGTATCAAGCTACACGGACGGCATGAGAAGAAATCGAGGACCAGTGTAATATACACATTGAATATATTATTATCAGAGCGTGTTGATACAGAATGATTACAATTTTAATAACAAAAAGAATATCTCTCTGGCTTATTCCTGACGATAGCGCGAAAGGAAGAAAGGGGACGGTGGTGTCAGGTTGGCTCGGTTTATGGGTACAAATAAATTTAACTTTTATCTATCATTGAACTATAAAGAAGGATAAACAATTTTACAATTTACCATATTTCTTATACATTTTTCTACTATTCAATATATTTGAAGCAAACTGTATTGGATATATTTAAGAAAAATGGTAGATCGAACTAATATGCCTATTTTTCACTTGAGTAATGTAAAAATTAAAAAAGAAGATATATATTTCATACATAATTGAAAATATAATAATTTCATAGAATATAAAAAGTGAAATAAAAGGAAAATAAAAACAATAAATAAATAAATGATTGATTTGTACACTTTATTCATTAATATAAAAGATAGTAAAATGTTGAGAAAATAAAATAGAAAATATAACAAAAATAATGTCAACATATTACTGATGAATATATGAATACGGCAATTCATATTCATATACAAAGAATATAATAATGACTGGACAATAAATTACTGCCATGTCTGACAGTTATCATATGCATTTAAAATTGATAAGAATGTGACCATAAAGTAATGGTACCTGATTAATAATATATAATTTTAATAGAAATATATACTTGAAATATCATTAATATTACTCAGTTATTCAAAACGTTAAAACGATGATAATAATCACAATGACAGAAATAGAAACATAGTAGCAATTATATCAATAGTAGCGATATCAATAATGGTAGTAATAACAATAACAATAATAAAATAGTAGTATTAATAATAATAATAATAGTAGTAGCTGCAGCGATAATAATTAAAATGAAAATTATTAGTTAATAGCAATAGCTATAATAACAAATTTGACTTAAAATCTTGTATTGTAGTTTTGCACATGCACACATGTTTGCAGAATGTTCCATTACATGAAAAAATAGATACATGTATTCCACATATATTTAATGATTATTATTCTTATTCTAATTATGCATTTTTTATATTAATCATTTTATTAATAACCATACATAATCTAGATTATATAAACAGGATAAAAAAAACTTTTGTAAATGCTATTGTATTTTATGAAGTTTGTAAATATTCTATACATTTATAATTGTAATTGAACATTCTGCATTGAAAAACTTCCAATACTGTTACTAAATCGTAAAGGAATTAGAACACACGATCTGTTTTTGTACAAATAAACAATTGTACAATAAAACAAAAATAGAACAGTGTAATAAATAATATTCGTAATAATCCTATTTTTTCCGTCTTACATACGCGCGCAGCATACATATACATTTCTTTTTTTCTTTCTCTCTCTCTCTCTCTCTCTTTTATCATTTTATAGGACAATAATAGATCAAAAACAGAATATAGTTAATTTTTTAAATTTAACAAGTAACACACGATTTGATAAGAATTTACTCATAAAAAACTGCAGCTGCGTAATATAAAAATTTCTAAAGAAAGAGAGGGAGAGTGGAATATATATTATTTAGTAATGTCATGCATAAGAATACTATATAACTGGATGGCGCATTAACATTTGTGATTTAAAAATCGAATTAAAATGATGTGCAATTCAATTCATTATTCAAATAATATCTAAACAAAAAAATTACACAATAGAACAATTATATTGATCTTATTATTAGATAAAAAAACGTCAATAACAATTAGGCAAAGTAAATGTGTAAATGGATTCCCTACATTCACATTACTTTTGCTTATCCCTCAGTGTTATTTCTGTTTTATTTTTCTTCATATATACATATCTATTACTTTGTGTTCTACTTTGATTATGGACGCTACTGTATGGCGTGTTTATTAACACTGTTTCTATGATATGCAATGCTATCATCTTTGCGTCTGAAATATTATATGTTGCATAATGCAAGTTTATCAATAAAGTAGAAATTGATGCAACCATGTCTAGTATGAAGTAATTTATACATTCACTTTTCTTATTGATACGATTCATGAATCCACGAAGGATGCAAAAACTATGACTTTGACGACCCACGGGTGACAGAACTCATTATGAACATAAAATTTCATTAAAAAAAAAAAAAAAAAAAAAAAAAAAATAAAATAAATAAATAAATAATTTTACATAGATATATATATATATATATATATATATATATATATATATATTATTGTTATTAGAAATGAACCAAATCAATACACAGCATGACGTCTGATATTTACAAATAAGTTTCTCTGAAAAATATCTTGGGCGTAGGTCAGAAAATCTATAAGGCTCCACGCATCTTGTGGACCAGTCACAGCAAGATTAAAAATTCTCAGCTTATTACAATTGATGTTCTTTCTGTTCCTTGTTAGAATTTGTTACTAAAATAGAGATAATATAAGGCAAAACTCTGATAAATTTTAGACAAAAAGAGCATCGTAAAAATTGTCAATAAGTCTATCATTCCATGTCTCAATGCATTTAAAACTCATTCTCATAATGAGGACGGCGTCACCAGTTCCATTAATAATTCATCCCTGCCCACGGTCGTCTGTGTAAAAATACTTGTATGACATGGAACAAGAATGTTTTTAAGAATATAATAATAAATAATATAGATAAGTAATTCATATACGAATATACTTTGATAAATAGATTAATGAACAGTAATTTGGTATCAATTTTTCACTAAAAACCTTACAAAAAAGTTTTTCGTTTTTACTATTCAGGGAAATTTTTAAATAAATAGTAAAAACTTCAAAGGTGTTCAGAATTTCATATTTTCTCAAAATATCTTGCTCCACATCTTCATCATTTTCTAGAAGAAATCTCTGCCTAAATGTGGACGGTTTGTTTGTTGTAATAATCGCGCTCTACCTCGTCCATTAGCACCAGTAGCATGTCTTCTGGTATTTCGCAATTCTCTATCAACTTCTAATTCTTCAAGCTTCATCGTGAGACAAAGCTTTTGTTGCACTGCGAGGCGTAAAAGTTGATTCAAGGTCTTCCTTTCATCCTCTGCTATAGTCAGCTGACGTTGTAGTTCATCCACTTGAGTAACATATTCTTCACAACGTGCAGCGAACATTGCACGTAAACCTGAGAAGTATTGTTAGCAGGATTTTAACACGAGATAGGTGAGTAGAAGATTAGAAAGGCAAGAAAGAAATATATCAAAAAATAATATAAATGTAACATATAACAATGTCCAACCAAACAAAAAAGTAGTTATATCTCACTTTGTTATATAACATTACTAATATAAAGAAAAAGCAAAAGAAGAACATAGTAATAAATATAGTAATATAAGTAAATATAGTAAGCATGTGAATGTATTATTTTTTATGAAAAGTTAATAAAATTCTTTATACTTAAAATAGAATTTGATTAATATATTAAAAAAAAAAAAAAAATAAATAAATGGAGATAAAGCGTACATTTGTTTAACAAATAGATCTCATAATTAAAATTACATTGATTCACCCTTTTATTTACTGAAATTGCAAATCTGATGACATGCAAGTAAAGCAGTTGCAAAATCTATTGTTGCACAACTTAATATGAATAAGAATGTATACATTAATTCTGATATTCAACATGTTTATGATTAATGCATTAATAGGTGCATGTTAGTAAAAAAAAATGAAGAAAATGTTATATTACTAAATTTGCTTCGAAAATACACTGAATTCTTAAATAAAAATAATTAAATAATAATTATCTACTGTATAATTCCCTTTTTTATGAAAGATCTTCTCTAATATCGAATACGTCAAACTAATCACAATGTTCAGCCAAACTAATTCATATAATTAACACAATTTTCATTAAGAAAAAAAACTTACTTGAAAATGTCGCTGCATTTTCTTTCAACATTCTAAGTTCATTTCGTAGTTTCAGCATGGTTTCATTAACAATACTTTTCTCATTTTCATATTTACTCTTCAAATTTGTTAATGCTACTTCAGCCGTGTTTTTATTTGACTTTAATACTGTCCTTAGAGTTGCTATTTGTTCACGTTTAGCAGACAACATTGCCTTTAATCTTATAACTTGTTCTTGCAATTCTGCCACTTCGGCCTTATTCTCATTTACAGATGCTACAAAAATAAATAAATTAAATCCATATAAAAAAACATTAATAACTATTAATTTTGACCTATGCACACACACACATACACACACACACACAATTATTCTAACTTACCTTCACAAACATTACAAATGTTTGATTGTACTCCCTTCTTCTTAGATAATTGTATTGTATGTTCTACTGCACTTCTCAGATGTTTTATTTGATCAATAGCAGTTTCTATATGCTTAGCAATTTCTTTTGCTTTGCTAAGACTTTCTAAATCCTTAATTTTAATATCTGTTTTGAACAAAGTTCTACACCATTCAATTTTACCATTTCCTTCTTCTTTTTCAGGAACAATTTTTTCATGGTCGAGAACAACACGTGAAGGCATTTCTCCATTGACTGCACACACATGATGATAAAGGTACACCAATTCATCAGAAATATTTTGCAAATCATTTTGCGCTGAATCAAGAAAGCCTCCAGCTTCTATAGCAAGTTTTGAGAGGGTACAAACATCAGATTCGAGTTGCATACTTCTTTGTTCAGTATCTAAAAGCTGAAAGGAAAAAATCACACTTCAGTAATGATGATTTAAGGTCTAACAACCCTTAATAATTATTATGCATTGCAAATTTGCTGAATATGTGAAGAAAGGATGAATTCAAGTCAATTTGGAAAGTCAGTTCTAGGATCACATTTGTAACAATCATGTAATCAGCAGCCTAGAACATAATATATTCCGAAAAATGCACGTTAAAATATATAGTTCGTATTTGAGCATCGTGCAAACAGGCTTTATGAGTCTGACTCATGCCGCGTTAGACGTATATAAAATACATAAGAAGATGTAATCGTTCGATATTTTATTTTTAAGCACATTCTTTTCAAAGCCACGGTGCATAGCCATTAAGATCCGTATGTTTTTTCTATGGACCCTTAATAATTATATATGTGTATACACAAATTCTGATACATGGAGTCACATATGAAAAAAATTTTCATTATAAATATGAATTTCATAGATGATTCCATATATCATAAAAGTGTATAAAATTGGCTAATAAATTTGATATCATGTACAGTTAAGATTCATTAAATCTGAAGAAGCAATACACGATAGGCTGTTAGAACACTGAAAAGCAAAATGTATGAATAATTAGAGGAGCCAAAGACAAGTTGTTATTAAATAATTGGTAAATACGTCAAGACGAGCACACTTTCCAACCTTTTCTCGAAGCATCTTCTCTGATTCTGGGATCTGAAATGCCATAATTTCTATTCTAGGTTAAATTTTTTTTCAATGATAGCGTCATCAGAGTGATACTTTATATTCTTGCCTTTATAAAAATAGAGCTTTTCGTTTTAAAGGAAAAACATTAAACAATTATATACCAGCAATTTGCCTTCAACCGTATAAATAATATAATTTGTTTCATTGAAAATATCAACACATTTTAGTAGAGAACGATATAACAACGTAATATAAGAGAATATATACCTTATTTCTCAAATTTGTTAATTCCGTTCTTAATTGCTGTGTTGCATCAGATACTGTTAAACCATTTTCTAATTCCGTTAAATCTTTCTGCAGCTGATCTACTTCACGGGCAGACATTGTACTCCATTGATGGTATTGCATAATAGCCTGAAATATTAATTTATATGTAATTACATAAATGATTTTAACACTCTTACCGTATTTATTATTCAAATATACCTGATTCAATTTTTCCATTGTAACTTCTTCATTTTCCTTTCCAGGTAATTTGGAATGAAGATGTTGCAATGATTGCACATGTGCTGTTAATTGCATAATTCGTGCAATAAATGTTTGTAACTCTCCTTGACTTTTTTCAACTGCATATTGAGATTCCCTTAAATTCTGAGTTAAATGAACTTTTTCAGATTCAGCAAGCTCTAATTGTTTTTCTAATTTTTTCAATTCATTCAAATGAATTTCAGAGAACAAGTCTACTTGTTTATCTGCTGCAGAAGTTCCTGGTTCTTGAGTTTTCAAATCTGCCTCAATTCTACGTAATGCAGGCGGATCATCTTCACCATCACTACATATTGTTTGATCTTCAGTAATTCCTCTAATAGAAAGAGCAAGATTACTGAGATTATAAATGGATTCACTATTAATTCGTTGATCCAATTCCTTCTTAAGTGCATATTTAGCTTCACGTTCAGCTTGTAAAGATTCTAATGCCTCTTCCATTTGTTTTTCAGCAATCCTTTTTAAATTAGTTAATTCTTCTACTTGACTATTTAAAAGTTCTACTTCCTCTGTTAATCTTCTAATTTCATGTTTGGCACCTTCAAATTCTACTTGACTGGACCGCAGACCAGATACTTGTTTTTGTAGCGAGATATTTTCATCTTCTAATTCTGAATAATCTTGAAGTAATCTAGTTTCACGAAATCTACATTCACGTAATTCCGTTCTTAATGTTTTTCTTTCTGTTTCTGCTTGTAGATGATCTTTACCTATTTCCTCTCTTTCCTGAAGTGCATGATCACGCTCAGCTTGTACTCGTTCTAATTCATGACGTAACTGCAGAAAAAGTTAAATTTACAAAGTTTAATTATGTTATATCACATTTTTTTTCTGAATATTGAAGACATAGTATTATTATAATATCATTTACAAAATATATGAAATGTCTTGTCTTTATTAATTAAGTTTGATAAATATAAAAAAATCCACAAAAAGAATGGTTGCTATCAGAATTAATTTAATTTAAAGTACCTGCTTTGTTTCATTTTCCAGTTCTAATATTTGTATTTGTAAAGAGGTTTCTCTTGCTGCACTTTCACTTAAAAGACTCTCCTCTTGTTCAATACCACTTTTTGTAGTCAATATAGTAGTTGTTTGAACTTTAGTTAAGGCCTGGAAACATAAAATTCATTATTTTAAATATTAAAATATTTAACATTTTAAATATTTTATGTAATATTTAAAATATCTGATAAACATTTAGAAATATAAAATACTAGAACTATATCATGCAAATTATATTACAAAAAAAAAGTAGATGCATTTAGCATACAAGATGACATAAGCTATATAATTGAGAGCTATAAATTGCGATATGTTAAAAAATATATATCACAATTTACACATGAAAATTTATTCAAATTGACAATTTTGTTTTAATCTATATCTATTTTTTATCCATAAGAAAATGTGTCTAAAGAATAATTTCATAAATATAAATTAAGTAAATGTCAACTAAAATAGATAGCATTTAAAACATAATCGTAGAATCGATATATTAATATACATATTATTATTTCTATAAAATCAACTCAGCACCAGTTGTGCTATTAGAAAAGTGTATTAACCTCTTGTGCGATCTCTAACTCATGCTTCGTGTTTTCATAGAGGGCCTCGAGATCATTGCACTTTTGTTGTAGAGCCGATTTTTCTTCGAGTAATGCAAGACCATATTGAGCGGATTGTATCTTCTCCGTGGAAGCTAAATCTAATTCTCTTGAGAGTCTTTCAATCTCCGTCCTGAGATCCTCTACTGTAATGCCTTCAACTGTAGCCATTGCTGAATACCCTGACGAGGATCTCTTTGCCTCTTAACTTGTATGCCTATGCGTCGTTACCGTGTATAAATCGAAATACCGGCTGCTACGATGGAAGATGACACATTCGCAAACATTATTTGCGAATTTATTGTTGAATATCTTTATTACATATAAGCACACCGTGCATTCATATACTGGAGGCTAATAGTAGTTTTGACATAGACAAGATTAAAGTACAGGGAAACGAAAAAGATCGAATAAACCGGATGCATGTTCTAATACACGTTCCACGTTTCTCCTTCCGTCGTGTTCCAACGTTCCGCTGCTATGTTGCACAAAAAATATTTACGTAATCAGAAAGAGAATGAGAGAGATAACAAATCCCCCATACTTGCTACCGTAAATGCAATAACGCCGCCTACATGCGTTTTATATAACGCCTAATTATTGAAAACGCGCACGTGAAAGTATGAGTCGGTAAAGTAGAATTCTAAGTCTGGAATTCTATTTTATAGTACATCTCATCGTTACGTTACAAATATATAAATAATCTTAACTATTTTTATATCATAGAAAGGTTTATTGATATTAGAAAAACACAATCTAAGCTTTTACCATATATATTATTGATATTCAAAATAAAAAAATATAATTTACAATTATTACAAAATTCAATCATAATATTCTATATTAATATACAAAATATTTTATATTAATGTATAATACGATAATTATTTATAATAATTTATTAAATTAAAATTGTTAAATTAATACTTATAGATAGATTAATATTCTTTTCTCCATGTTTTTTCGATGTTAATTATATACCACTCACTTAATTAAACGGAAGAGAAAAGATATCATTCATATGTAATACATACACGCGGTGAATAACAATTATGCTTCTCAAATATTATTTACTAATGAATCCATATCTACATCTAATATATCTGAAGGTAAAATCATTTCTTCAGAAGTATCATTATTTGTAACAGAATTATTTTTGGCTGCATCCAATGTCTGGCTGGATTCAACGTTTGGCTTTTCTTTGGATTGCATATCTACAGTATCTTTGGATCTAAAAAAAAAATATAAAATTTATTATATTCAAACTTAAATAAATAAAAATTTAAACTATTACTTTTTATTCTTTAGCATAATTCTTACGTTTGTATATTATCCATAGTATCATTAGGTAAGTCGAACAATATTTTGATATTTTCAATATTACTTTCTGTTATTTCTTGATCAGATGTCAACAAGTTTGTTACTTCAATATCAACAGGCGGCAATGGTTTTTCTGGATTTAATGCACGATATGATAGCATATTAAACGCATTTTGTTTCATGGGATTTGGAACACATCCAGGCATAAATTTTTTAATGGAAGAATTACTGTTGATTATTTATAATTATTAAGTAAAAATAATTTAATTAAGCAAATAAAAAAATTATTAATAAAATTTATAAGGTTTTTCAAAAATGTGACTTACTTTGTATCAATTAACATAAAAGCATCTAATAAATCATCTACAATTTTATTTTGTTTTTTTGATAACTTTTTAACGAAAGATTTTAAAGGTTTGAATTCTATTCTTCTTATATCTTCCGCAAATGGTAGTATGATCTCTACAAAACACTGAAATAAGATAAAATATAAATATAAAAATTTAAAAATTAGAATACAAAGAATAATATTACGAAGTACGATAAACAATGTTTTATTTTACCCAAGGTTCATCTGGAATATTAATACGTGGAAATAGTGCTACTATATTTGGATTTGAGTTATTTCTATATACTTTTCTAACAATAGCAACAACATCTTTATTAATCATAGCTTGCATTAAATTATAAAATTGTGGTGCTGCGTTCTAAAATATAGAAAAATTTTTACATAATTAAATGAAACTTTTCTTACAACTTTATTCATTAGAATAAAAATTAGTTGATCTTTTATATTATAATTTGGTCACAATATTTCTCATTTAAATTATATGCAATACCTTATCAGCAGGCAAAATTATGTGATTACTGGTACTGCTACACCAATATTGAATGTCAACATGATTTTTCTTTGTAAAGTACAAAAATTTATAACTTTTAGGGCCACTTTTATACAGCATAGCCTCTTCATCTTCCTCTATTATATAAATTAAATACTTTCGTTAGAAAAGATGATGTAACACAAATTTCTAATGCATACATTAAATACAACAAATTATTTACTTGAAAATGGTATAAAAACACCACCATATATATAACCATGTATTATATGTTTCGAATTATGAAATTCCCTTTGTCTATCTTGGTATTCTTTAACACGTTCCACTTTTACAGGTTTATTAGGCTCTATTGTTTTACTTTGCGAAGTTTCATTAGTCATATTTTCCCATGATGGAAATCTTGATTCCTTTGTTACCTAAAATAGAATTATCAGAATGTCGTAAATAATTACCATTAAATTTTAATAACCGTAGTACTCATAAAGTAAATAAAAAATTCTTAATAATAAATTTTCTAATCTATAATTATTATTATTGTATACATTACCTTGACAAATGATTTAATTGGTATTTTTACATCAAGTAATTCTAATAAGCACGTCCATGGTAAAAGCCTAGACTGTGTTTTTCTAATAAACTTTACATCATCAAGTGCTTGATTAACTCTCTTGTATTTCCCATTAGCCTGCCATAAATCCACAATATAAATATTACATGAAACACTAACATTAAGAAATCAAAAGTACAAAAGATATAAGTAATACTGTTATAACTATTTTATGTATATATATACATATACATATATATATATATATATATATATATATATATATATATATATATATTCGTAATAAAATATAATACTTGTTTGTAAATATCGAGAATGAGATTTTCACTGGATGTAATGGTGTTTTGAGGTTTATTAAATAATGGTTCTAAGCCACTGGAAAAATATAGAAAATAAGAAATAATGCACTGAATACAAAAGTATATAAAATTAAATAAATGCTAATACTATACATAGCTAGTAATGTAATTTCTTGGTCTTTTAATGCTGGTATTATATCACTTATGTCAAAATCAGTTATTTTTGATACTTCCTTAAAATCAGAAAATAAAACTATTTTTTTATTTGTTTTATCTCTGCAAAAGAAAATAAAAATAAAAATATATATTGTTTTTTTAATATATTATTATTTTATACACACACGCCACACACACACACACACACACACACACATTTGTAATTATACTTACACACATTCACGTTTAACATAATCAATAGCAACATAAAGAGCTTTTATCCAATTTGATATACAATCTGTAAGTTCCAGATTTGAAACAATCTTTATCAAGTTCCAATTTGGTACTTGCATGCTATGAACTTCTTGAATATTTTTGAAATCAAGTCTATTGAATGAGATAGTTGAACCTGATAATATCAAACCAATTTCATCTTTTGGTCGATAAAATATCTAAAAATATAATTTTTATTAGTTAAATTGTAAATTATGATATAACAATATCTAATTATTATATTTATATACCTTCCTTTCTATTAAACGCCGAGTAATAACTTTTGCTTTGTCCAACAGAAAAGAATTAGATAGAGAATCCTTTGATGATACACCCACATCAATTACAAATATCAATGATTCCTAATACATGTTATAATAATAACAATTTTTAATATTATAATAATATAATTCAACATAACATGACATGACATGATATATTTAACCAAATAAATATACTAATAATAAATTATAAAAATGAACCTTTTTGTTAGCCATTTTGGATGTTTTTTATTAATTTACTTTAATCCAAATTAATTTTCATCCAAAAAAAACTTTTCGAATAACTAGATATTCAAAATATTAAAATGTTTTTGAATATATTTCAAATTTTAATTTTCATTCAATATGCGAATTATCATATATATACAAATTCCAAGATCGATCAATATTACTCAACTCTATGAATTTCAGGGAAAATAATCGAAGCGCTACGTAGTAGTAAATTGTGAAACTATTATCCTTAAACAAGAGTATCTATAATGATATAATAATAACAATGTAAATGTAAGAGTATCATAAAATGTTGAGTTGAGAGATAATGTAGATATCAATAATTTTGAACTTGGATTACGTTGTAATAGCTAAATTATTTCCGTTATATTTAAAATTCGAGATTCTTGGATTTATTTGACTATAGTAGTACAAGTGTAATCCTTAATAAGATTTATATTTAATTTAAAAAATTTTTTTTCTTCAATAGTTCCTAAATAAAAAATTATTTCTTATTTTCAAAATCAAAAATGATAGTTCCTAAATATCTATTTTAATAGTAATAAAGTACTTCAATGGCAAAAGTTCGTAAGTCCATATTCTAAATTATATCAATCTTTAAATTAATTTTATGAAGAATTAATATTAATAGTACAATATGAATATTATAACAGAGGATGATAAATTTGTCCCATTACATTTTGTATTTTGTAATTTTTATGGTGAAGATACATGTTTTTGTTGGAACGATGATAAATTTGTTATGTTTCCATACATACAAGAAAAATATACATCTTTGCTGCCAGTTTTGATTGCACCGAGGCAAATAAAAACTATACAATGTTTTTCCAATAGAGTTTTCTTTACATGTTTACCCCATGGTGTATATAAACTTTCAAGAGATAGAAGATTCAGTGTATTAAGTAAAAGTGCTATAAGTGTTGGTTCCATATTTTTTGAGATACTTAAGACAAAGGATGATCACTTATATTTGGAAAATAAACAGAACAAATCGAGTAAGATATTACTCCATTTGCCACTCATGTCAAAACAACTAGAAGAATTATGTACTTTTCCTTTGAACATGGAAAATTCAGAACATGAATTTAGAAACATATTACTAGATGAAATTGATATGGTAGATAATTTATGTTTGATTGGTAATGGTAAAAAGTTATTTACTTTAACAAAAGAAGTAATTCATTTAATTCATAGTTTTGATAATAAAATAATAAACATTGTACCTATACAAAATGACAAAAAGATTAATGGATTAGTACTTATAACAAATACAGATGCAATTATCATTGTGCATTCAAAAAATAATATATTACGCTATAAAAAACTTTATCTAGGAGTAAATGTTAAAACCCTTTGCGCAGGACTTAATCATCAATGTAGCGATAAAATATGGATTGTTTATTCCGATGAATCCAAATTGTATTACATGATAATGACACTTTCTACCGAAATATATAAGAAAGTAAAAATAGAAGAAAAAAATTTTATTTGCCTGCAATATTATGAAAAAGATAAATTTGTAGGTCTAACTAAAACAAAAGAACTTCATGAATTATCCATTAATACAATAGAAAATTGTGTAAATGAAGAAATTTCCAAAGATGATTTTATAAATCTTCATAAAGATATGTTAAAAGGTACAGATTTAATTGTTGAACAAATCTATGAAAGAGCAAAAGAATTAGAATTGTGGAATAAAATACTTCTTACTGAAGAAGATAAACTTTATAGAATAAATCTTTATGCTTGCAGAAAGAAAATACAAATGTATCCTAAAATGACAGTATATAGAATAGCAAAACAATTATTTCTTAATATAGATTTTCAAGAAAATTTACCAAAAAATGTTTATATTGTTTGTTTCTTAGTATCCAATCATGAAACAACTTTCTCTATCAAAGAAATAGTAAATAATGAAACTTCAATCGATTTACCTATAGTAACAAAAAAATTATTTAATTCTTTACAAATCAGAATGGATTTAGTAACAATCATAAACGTAGAACAACCATGGTTTCTTATAAAAGATTTTGTAACAGATCCAGTTATAGAGAAGAAAAAGAAACAAAAAGAAATGCAAATTAAGAGAGATAAAACAAATTTTATAAATGCTAAAATAAATCTTATAAGGAATTTAATGTTGACAAAAAACTTAACTATGAAGAAATTATCAGAGATGAAAAAGAAGATAAGAAAAGAAATATGTGACTTTTAATTTAATAATGTAAGCAATCATTTCATAACATAAAATGTCTTATGTTATTACTATCACAATTTTTTAAAAAAGTTTATAAAATCGTTTATGTAATTAAGGTACATTATCATTTATCTATAAGAACACAAGTAAACTTATTAATAAATATAATAAATATGTTTAAATTTTTTCAGAACTGGGCATTTCTATTATACTTCCAATACTGCAACTGGAACTCTTTGGTTGTTTCACAGAATTTCTAAAACTATTTTGTATTCTGGGACCACCAAGTCGATCTTGAAGTGTATCTAATGATTTAGCACTTTTCTTCGAACCATTAGCACTACGATCTTCTTGTTCATCGTTTTTATTGGAACGACGTTGTAGAATTTTGGTAACACAGACTTTAAAGTTTTCTGAGAATATACCATAAAGAATAGGATTGACCACTGTATTCAATTGAGCTGTAATAAGTGCCCAAATGAAATGATGCGATCTCATGAAAAAATCAGTTTGTTTAGGTGGTCTCTGAGCATCAATGAAAAGCAAGAGAGCGATGATCGTTATTGGCAACCACATGACTAAAACGGCAACTACGTTTAATAATAAAATCCGCATGACACGTATATGCTTGTGAAGACGGACTTCCTCGTGTTGTGACATACTACCAGTTCTACCAGTACGTTCTATAACTGATGATGTAGATAATTTTCTTCCAACCCATGGTATTAATGATCCTACCACCGATAATTCCGAATCTCTTCTGTTTCCTTTACCAGTTGTTAAGTCCTATAAGATATAAAATTTATCAAATTAAATTAAAAAGATTTAGCAATTTGTTAAGACTTAATATACCAACTTGAGCTACACAAGGTACAGCCCATCTATCTCGCGTATTAAGAATCTTTTTAAATATCTGTTGATAGTGATACACCAAAAGACTCATTGGTAACAGACAAGTAAACGTGAGTGTTACTATAGTAAAAATAAGTGATATTTTCACCATTGATTTTTGTGGAAAGACAAGAGTACATATTTTAACACCACCCGAGACTGCCTGTAATAATTAAACGAAAATACAACTTCAATATAGTTTTTATATAAGTATAATAATTGGACAATAATACGATAATGTAATCGGACATTTACCCTTGGCTTAAACCAAATTGTAACAGGAAGAAAGACAAAAAAAGCGACGATCCATGTTGTTAAACAAATAAAGAGCACTCTTTGATTAGTTAGGATGCTTCTATATGGTGCTACTGCTAAACATTTGTGTCTGTCTATTGATATAACTGTGAGCGTCCATAAAAGTACGAAGCCACATACGTACTGAAATAAAACAAAAGAAAGCAAAGATTGATATTAAATCAATTTTAATTATCAGCCTTAGTTTCGTGTTGTTAAATGTCATCTAGCGGAATTAGTTTTCAAAATAGGAACATTACTTTCGTTATACACACGTTAGCGGCTACGAATGAGTATTTATAGTCACCCTTCATAAACAGGTGTGACCTTGATCTGTAAGGGTGAGAGGTGTATTGTGTCACAGTAATACACCTCTCGTCTGCCAACTAAAAATATACTTCTACATATAGTTGCTGTTAATTTCAACTTACATAAAAAAATGACACGTTAAACTTTCATTATTATTATTTTAATTCTTACTGTAACATCGAGCGTATTTTATTCTAATCGTTAAAAAGATAAAAAATTTGTATATATAAAAAATATTATGTTTAAGAGAATCGACATTTTTATGTTTAGATAATTATAAGATTAGATAATTAAATCTAAAAAAGGATTAAAATTTTGATAATTTAGATAATGAAATTATTAAATGAGAGAGAAAGAGAAAGAGAGAGTAATTTTCTAAACGAATGAAAAAAAGTATAACGATTTTTGATATATCTTTCTTAAAAATGTAATATATGATCCTAAAAAACAAATAAAATCACATTTTACTTTTCACAGGAGCATTGACTCTTGCGATTCTTATCATTGTAGTGACAAGAAGAGATTTGTGAGCAATGATAATAGCAGATAGGGAGAAAAGAAGTAGAATTACCTCGGAATATGGTAATAATGCGCAAACTACGTCACCGAGTTCCCAAGATTGCGTCAATCTGGTGTAAGCAACCACTGGGATACCAAGAGCAAACAATAGATCCGCTGCAGCCAAGTTCACTAGGCACAAGTTCGTGGGCGTTCTAATCTCCTTGTACCTGAGCACGCAAACGGCCATTCCAACATTGACAATGATTGCTGCGAAGAACGTAATGAGAAGTACTGTCACCTGAAGAAAGAAAAAAAGAGAACTCCCTTTTTTTTCTTTGTTTTCCTATTTACTAGGTCGATATGGATCACATGAATTTTTAGTAATATTTATTTTGTATATTTTTATCCTATATCGTACCTCTACAACAGCTGCTTCGTACCTTTCACCGAACTGACTATAATAAGAAAAATGATATTTGCTGCCATATTCGTTCTTCCCCCATCGGTAGGACGAATTCATGTTTGTCTTCTTTTCCTCCTTCTCTCTCTCTTTTGTCAAATTTTCTTGATACCTACTACATCTGTCATTCTTTTTGCAGAACAATCTACCTTCATAATTTACAAAAGATTTTTTCCATCTATGCTGCAATAAATGAAGAAGAGAAAAAATAAAAAAAGAGATATATTTGTTATTAATTAACAATCTATCAAGTTCATCAATTAGGTTCATTTTCGAAGCTTATCAATATGCAAGCTTGCAAGAAGAGGGTTCTCGATGAAAGACTTTTTTATTGGCCTTCGAGGTATTTTTAAAAGTAATTACTCTTAAATCCATGAGATGAAAGCTCGACCTTCGAACTAAATATCTACAATAGAGAAAAAAAGACAAGATGTCTACCATCAGGGTCATGGTTTATCTGAAGAAGCTATACCACGTCCTTCCAATTTACTATGCTTTCGTTCTAAGCTTATTAAGTTATTATTAGATACTAACACGCGACAATATCTATGTATGCTTGACTTTACTTTTCTTAGACACTACGATATATTCACTTGGTGCTCTATTTACGAGTTTATATATCGCAAACATTTATTTTACCTATCGGTATAGTACCTTAGCAAATATAATTTTCCCTTTATATATATATATATATATATATATATATATATATATATATATATATATATATATAACAGAATATATGTATATATATATTCTGTTATTTTCATTTAAGGTAACAAGAAATTTGTTTTCCGACATAAAAGTCAATCCTCTCCCTTTTTGATTAAGAACAAAAAGCTTGGAGAAGCAAGAAGAAAATCGTTCGGTAATAAATCTGCAAAAGGAATCTCGTAAAAGCTTTTTTTAATATCCGATAGAAACGATTTTCGACGAAATCGAAGCTTCATTCCTCTTCAACAAATTGTCGTTTACTTCTTGGTATTAACTCTATAATTTAGACGCACCCCCGCACATACGTATAGATATCTATTCTTGTTTATCTTACCGCAAACGACTAACTAGACATTTAAACCGGTAAACATTGCTTCGAAGATTTATCACCGTTAAGAAATCCGTATGCATCACTGATTCTCGCTTTTCTTTACCTATATCATCAAATTTGAGATCTTCGTCTATCATTCGTTCGATCTTTAGTAAATATATCAATTTTACATTTTATATACATTCATAGAGAAATATTATAATTAGTCGACTTATTAATATTATAATGAAGTTTTAAGCTTTTTTAATTTAAAAAAAAAAACAGACAAACAAGAAAAAGAAATGATCTCAGATGAAATAGTTGCGCAAGAGTCATATTTTAAACCTTTAATTTCTATATAAAATTAAAGTCGTCATTTTATCGAAGTATGAACTATGGAAATGTGACAAGGTGATTGACCCTAATGCTTTTAATTAACTTTCATAAAGAAAATGTCCTTTGGTTGAATTTCAAAAAGAAATATATATATATGTATGTACATAAATTGCGTTATTAAGAATTCATCATTGCGTGATGGTTGCATGATTAAAACGGTATGAGACATCGACAAGTTTATTGAATAGTAAATTTCTCGCGTTATTTCATTAATAGCTCGAATGGCGGGAATCAAAGGCGCCATTTTGCAATTTACAATAACGATGTTAAAATGAAAAAAATTGTTATTTAAATTGTTATAAAATGAATAGAACATTTAACTATATCGTCGGATAATAAAAGATAATTTAGTTCATTAAATGCTTTTAGAAGAAAATGTAATTACTTTATCGAATGATAATTAAACGTCAATTAGATGAGAGAGGGATAAGTAATTATTCCTAATACGAATTGACAATTATTATTCTACGCCTATGTTATTTGCTCGTATCATTGCCGTGCGATAAGTGATTACGATTTTCTATATCTCTGCATATATGTTCTCACATTAAGACTACAAATATATACTTTATTTTATTACCATAATGTAAATCTTGTCGAAACATTTAAGCTTAGCTTCGTACATCGTTGTTAATTAATTACATGCGAAATTGAAATTAAAAACGAGAAAGATTCTTAAAAAAAAAAAAAAAAAAAATTTCTTTTCATTACCATTTACCTCTTTGAATTACTTCATCCGTAAATTTCTATGAAACATGTAATCAAAGTATGTACATCGATCATGAATCCTGTTTTATTTTTTAACATGAATACACCAAAAAAGCATCAACTTTTGTAATTAATAAAAGTGTAAAACCATCATGTATCTATGTGTATTCCTTACATCTAGGCTCTTTCTTTATACATTTGTACAGACACGCTAAGTAATTAATCACTGGTAATCAAGCCATGTGTTCGTTCGCCATCTTTCTTTTTCTTTCTAAGCGGACTTTGAAAAATCGATCCTTATACAAAAAAGAGATATCTACTTTTGTAAACCAGGAAGATTCTTGCCTTTTTTTTGTTTTAATATTTAAACTATTCATCTATTGCTACGATGAAATAATAATAATATACATATAAATATAAATAACTTCAATTCTTCATTAAATGTGCCCAATTTTTAAAAAGATATAATAAATGATCCTTGAATTTTTGTTAATTTTTGAAACTGATCGATCGATGGTCGACGTTTTTTGCTTCGAAATAACAAACTAAAAACTTCATATGTTATTAAACTCCGATTCTATTAAAATTGTTTTGAAGGACAATAAGAAAAATTGATTTTCTAATAGTAGAATAAAAAAAATAATATATTCAGTTTGATACGAAGATTAGTTAACGATTTTCTATAAAAATAACAATGATAGTTCACTTGCGGTATTGCGTATCCCGATCTGGGGGTTAATAAACGACTTTATTGCAATTCAACGTTCTGACGTTGCTTTCACGATTTATGTACGTACATACATCTTTCCTCCTTTAACCAACGAAAATAGATATCGCGTTGAACTTGAGAAATCTTGTCTTTCTACTCTTATTCTCTTCGAAGTCGAACGTTTCTCATTAAAATTTGTATGAAAACGTATAGATCGTACCTTAAGATATTAAGTCGGTGTAGTAGTTCAAACGAATTTATGTCCTCTTGTAAGAAAAAATAAATTTCTTTTATATCATCTAAATATTAATATTTTTCTAATATTTAATATGACACTTCAAGATATTACGAGGATTTTAAATTTCCCGCCAATTAAAAAATTCAAATACCGATAGTCCTTTGTCAAACGGATGATTATTAAATTTTACACTTTATTTAATTGATCTTAAATATAATGAATTAATTAATATCAATATAAGGATATAAAAATTGTTGAAAAACACAATCAACCAAAAGATACAATGAACGTTACGAGTGTCTCTAACGAACGCTTTTCACTGACTGACCAACTTCGAGCCACCATCGTTCGTAGGGTGAGCTTCTGCTTCGAAGAAAAGCTTTATAAAATATGCCGCGCAAGTCATTGCTGTACCTTGAAGACAGTAATGTCACAAATATCATTGGACTCTTTTTAATGACAATAGCGTATATAGTTGATTGTTTTTTCTGAACAAAAATACCGCGGAAATTTAAATACAATCAAATCAAACGAACTTTTATATGAACTTTCAATGATCGCTCGTTACTTATACACATCGTTAACAATAATCAAATCGATGGTTGAAGTAATTGTTTTATTTTTATATTACAGACCGGATAGATTTTTTTCTTTTGTTTATGTTTGAGAACATATTTCTATTGAATCGGAACAATATAAGATTTGTCAAAAACATGCATAAGTACTATCTATTATTGCATGTCGCATGTAGCAACATTTTAATGATTAACTATGGAAGATCACAAATTTCTTTTTACTTAAACCGATTTGTACAGATCGCGTTGTTTGTCATTTTTGTCTTTATACGCATATTATGCGTGTATGTGTGTGTGTATATATGCATGTATATATGTGTACATACACGAACACGCCGCACGCACTCACACATGCACACACACATACACATGTATAGAAAGTATAAGAGAGAAAGTGAGTAAAAATCGGCTTCTTATTTTTTTGTAAATAGTATGTAATAACACTTCCCCGACATAACTATGTTTAACTAAAGCTCATTACATTGTCATAAAGTGCTACATACAATGTATTAAAAATAACGAACACACACACATACACACGCGCGCACACATATATATGTATTATATACAATAAACATGCAATAGATAGTACAGAAAACTAAGTAAAAGATCATGATGTAATCTCGTAAAAATATATAAAATCTTAATAGGTTTAACATCTCTGTAAACATATTTTTATATCACTAAGTACGATTTATCTTTTTATATTTTAGCAAATGCATCAGTATCAATGTTTTAATTATCTGATAGACGATTAGAAAATAATGCAATTGCTAAAACATTTTACAAATGTGTGTTATAATATTTCTGGTCGTGTAAGATGTGCACTGTAACTCTTTGAAGCTTATTATATGAGGTTTATATACAATCCTACTCATATATCAACAGCAATATAATGTATATTTACTGCTAAAATAGCACCTTATATGTACCCCCTCCAACTTAATACTTGAGGAGAGAATTTCTCCAATAAGACTGACCGAGTTATTCTATTTATAAATTTCAACAAGAAAAATAAATTTTTATTATTATATGTGAAACAACTTCAATGTAATACTATGACTATCGTCATGCTTCAAAGAGTTATATGTAATATTTTTCAATATGCACACACTGAGTTGACTTTCATACTTTTACAATATAAATCTAGTATAGAGTATATAAAATAGTTTATAAGTATAGAAACAGAATCAGAATTAAAAATGGTTATTGCATGATAAGTTGAAATAATATCAAATTTAATGAAATTGCTACTATCATTGTTGTTATAATTATTAATTTTGGATGAAGAAAAACACATGCGTATATTGTATCGATAAAACGCACCTAAAAATTTACTTATAGAAGCATTTATAAATCGATATTAATTTATCGCATTTGTAACAAATTGTAAATTCAATTAATCTTTGATATTTCTGAAAATCTTTCAGAACACAAATAAAATATTTATAAACTTAAAAAAATATTTCTCTCTCTATTTCGCAAAATGATTTCGATTTATATATAAGATAAGTACAACTGTATTTGTTAAAAAACAAAATAAAATAAAATAAAATAAAATAAAATAAAATAAAATAAAATAAAATAAAATAAAATAAAATAAAATAAAATAAAATAAAATAAAATGAGTATAAATACTAAAATAATATCATTAAAATAATGTCACAAACATTCCTTCAATATTTCATGAATTGACAATGTGAAAATTAATTTTAATGATCTTTTCATGCATATATTCATGGCCATATAAGTACTTCTATTTGTATCTGGTATACAAATTATAATCAAAAAGAGATGTACCCACAACCAATATTAATTATTCTTATTTAATTTCAAAAATAAATTAATTATTAAAATTTTGAACGATAAAAATTGTACTATATTAAATATATGGCAGTTTCTATAATTATATTATTTAAAAAAATTAAAGTAAATAGCAAAAATAAAATAGATTCTTAAAATCAAACAGTATTTCGCTCTACATTACTTTTCTATTAAACAAACTTAAGATATTATTTTTTTTTTATTTTAACAATTGGGAGATATGTTTAGAAATTGCTTTCGTTATTAATTCAGGAATAATGTAATCCGAGTCTTTTTTTTTTCTATATTGCAATATAAATTATAGAAGTGAAGAAATATATTTTTATTAATTATTTCTATTATTCATTGTTTGTATATGAAGATTTATTTAGATTGGATTATATTTATACTATTTCATTTTTGCAATTAATTTATAATTCATTAAAATATCTCAAGCATACAATAATTTCATTGATTTATATCTTTTGCAAGTAATACTACCACATTTTTTAGTGATATTTAGTAATAACTTTGAATACGTCTTTTACGTATATGCGTGAAGTGTAACATAATGTTCATAATTCTTCTCTAATGTTAATACACTTGATATATATACATATTGTGCGAAATTACAAATAAATGTTCGAGGGTTATAAAAAGAAATAGAAAATAAATTAACAGATATATTTTTCAAATGATTACTAAAATATTTTTTAGGGCAACACTTGGTCTAGTAAAGCTGATTAAACAGGTTTATATCTACCAGATATTTTAAGGCACAGAATAAAAATACGATTACATTAATTACGTATCAAATATATCTTTTTACCACTAATTATTTTTAGGGCACCTATTACTCAATGTAAAATATAAAGGATATAATTTATAAAGCAAAACTAAAGACCGTTGCACCAAGAAAAATACTTAATAATTCCTTCAATCATATATATACCTACAAATTTATTATTTTGTACTGTTTTTTCTTAATATCTGCCTGTGTTTGGTCATACAACGGTATTTTATAATATTGTTAAACAAACTTATTTTCACACAAAAGTTTTCAATAATAATTATAAGATATTAATTATTAATAAGATTAATCATCCTGTTTCTTTTACTAGATCAGCAAAAAAAACTGTACCCACAAATCTATTAATTTTGATATTAAAAATCATTAGATCAATATTTAAAGGAGAAAAAACAAGACATTTTCATACTATATTCACAGTAAGTAGAGGGAAGTGCTTGTTGTAGAAAAACTTCTTTCAAAGAATATTAAAGGAGTTTTTCTCTTAGATTGAATTATTCTCCTCATAAAATCCATAATATGATATATATATATATATATACTACATAAATAATATAAATAAATAGATCATAAAATCTTTTATAAAATAAAAACAATCTTAAAATTAACCCTAGAGCGCTCGTAGATAAACTTAATTAGATTCTATGGAAAAAAGAAAAAAAATCACTATGTAAGTACATAGTGTTACTGCGCTCAAAAGTATTCAATATTGTATCTAAATGCTAATACAGAGTATATTAGGAAATATATGGAACACAGAATCTAACCACACGATTAATATTCAGTATTTCTTTTCCTATTCTTTCTAATTAAAATATAATGCAACCAACCTACGAGCACTTATTCTCTGAATGGGTTAATGAGTTATTACTTCTATTTATATACATGTTCAGTCTTTACTGAACACTTTTGTAAGTACTTAGCTGCTTAATGAAAAGAGACTTGATGGAACGTGTGAGATTAAGTCGGAATATTTTTTCTACCATGCGCTAAATGCAATTAAACAGTGGTATGTGATGCACGTATGATTGTTCATGAAATGAACTATTCAATGAATAATGTTTCATGAATATATATATATGAACATTTTTGGCAACTTCCCCTGAGCAAAATAGATATATTCTTTATCGAGGAATTGGGTACAGCTTCTAAGCCAATCGCGATGATATAAAATGCATAAGAATCTCATAATTGGATTAGTATCGTTTACATTAGATATTTAAGTAATTTGTTAAGTACCTAATGCCAAAACATCTGTATATGTCATAGACGTATGTTCTGTCCTTCGTTGCTTAGTATCTTTAATACTATTCCAACTGCCGACATTATTGTACATCGTCGGCCATTCTGTAAGCGTTAAGAACGATCTTGTTTAACTAATAAAGTTGTCCTTTCCTCATCATCCAATGATTTCTTCCCAGATAAAAGTCGGACAGCTTCTGATTGACTTATATGCACATCAGAATCTAAACTGAGTTTACCCAATCCTGTTGGAGTGGCTGCATTTTGTGCCTTAAATAAATCAATAACATCAAAGTTTCTGATGATAAAGACTTAGAATAAAAAATTATACAAACTAAAAGTGACATACTTTTATCGGGGAATTTTTTATCTTTCCATTATGATCGCTGTGTGATGAAACAAATTTAGAATTTGTAACTGGACTTGCACTGACTGGGAGAGGAGATGTTGGAGCAGTTGCACTTCGAATTGGTGATTGACTTTTAATATCTTTATCTTTACTGGTTTCATTTTCTTTATCTTTTGGTAAAACTGGCGATTCTGGTACGCTACGATCATCCTCATCCAAGGAATGTAATAACTAAAAAAAAAATATTTCCTTGTATTCCCTAATTAATATTAATTGATTTTGTATGTGTCATTGAAAAATTTATATCCTACGTACTTTCTCTACTTCATCGTCAAATTGATCCTGACTAGGTAAAGGATCTTTTTGGCTTCGTTCCAAAAGAGTGGCACGTTTGGCAGCAAGATACAAAGATCTTTTGACTTTGACATAAAATACTTCTGTTACCGCCCGAACAGTATAGTCTGGTATAAATGTATAACGTAATATAGAATCTAAATTGATCGATTGAATGCTTCCAAGATTTTGAGGATTTCCATTTGTGGGGGATTCAGCTAGAATATAATAAATATAATAAATATAAATATTATTAATGTGGACATGCATAATTAAGTATACAAATATACGTTCTTTGTTTTTTTTTTTTACCTATTCCTATATTCGTAGTAAGTGCTTGAGATCCAAAGTATGTAAATGGACCACTTTCGAACATCAAATTTTCCTTGCCAACTGTAACTTCTACTCGACCTTCTAATATCAATGCAAAATAATCTACTGCTTTTCCTTGCTGATAAATGACCGCAACGGGATCATTTCTGGCTTTTTCACGGGTCTTGACTTTGATGTGATAAATGATATCTTGTTTAAGTAAACGACGTAGAATAGTTTCGGATATTGTATCAGGTTTAAAAGCATCTACAGCTGTGAATCATATGTTATGCTCAAATATATATTAAATGCTTTATAATAATGTCTACACTAATCTCAAAGTAACACTTCTTCCTACTTGTAGATAAATACTGAAACATGGCCAAAGTTAATTGAGGAGATATATGAATACGCTGATTTTCTTTCTTCTCCGCGAATACGGTAAAGTCCTGCATTTTTGTCCGAGCCTGCCTTTTACGTTTACTTCTATTATCGGCTGTAAAAAAATAAATATTATGTTAATAAATACAATTTATTGCGTTTGAATTTAGATATTTTGATCTAACTTACTAAATACATCTGTTTCATCTATAATTTCTGCTTGAATTAATTCTTCTATAACATCTTCCAATGTAACTAAACCTATCACTTCATAGAAAGGATCACCTTCACCCTTATTATTAACTGTTTGAACAAATGCCATGTGACCTTTATGACCTACAAAAATAAAGGATTAATGAAAAATTTTTTATTATAAAAAGTTGTAAATAAAGCTATTTACATAGAATTATATTTATTGAGTATACCTTCTTTAAATTGTTTAAACATTATATCTAACGTAACATCTTCGAAAACGAAATTACATGGGTTTTGATAAAACTGACAAAGTGTTTTAAGTGGCATATTGTCATCAGGATCAACAAATGCAAGATCTTTAATATACAACATTGTTATTATATTAGTTCTAGCTCCCTCGTATACAGGTATTCGTGAAAAACCTAAATAAAATATAATTAGTTAATCACGTATCAATAATATCATTTAACAATATTTCTAATTTTTTTCTAAATAATTAATTATATACTACACTCAGTGTAAAGTAAAAGTACTTGATAAGATATGTAACATATTAAATTAATTCTTGATTAATCTACATATCAATAAGAGATTATATCTTATCTACATTAAATTTTGATTTGTTGAGTATGTTAAAATAATATAATAATGTCACCAGAATAATGTCACATTCTTAAGATTCTTAACATGCATATTGATAAAATCATGGTAAACTAACATAAATGCGATAAAATATAAAATAATTAAAGCAATATTAGGTAAAAAAAAACAAAAAAAAAAAAAAAAAAACAAAAAAAACAAAAAAAACAAAAAAAAAACAAAAAAAAATAATGTATACCTGATTTCATGATTTCAGATACAGTTTCAAAATCTAAAATTGCATTATAATTTAGCATATACACATCTTCAATTCTTGTCATGACATCTGCAACAGTCTTTTTCCGTAATTCTAGCGCTCCAGCTATAATGTTAACTTCATCTTTTTCTAGATCATTATATCCCGTTGTAACCTATAATTTATGATATAGTTATAACATAGTATTATTCATAATAGAAACTTTATACTAATTAAAAATATTATTAACTTATCAAATTATTACTTTTAAGTAAATGCTCACCTTAACAAGTTCTTTCAATCTTTCCCTGTTATAAACATTACCAATCTCTTCACCAAGAAAAACATCCAAAATTTTACTAATTGGATAACTTAATGGAAATGTTATTATCATAGTTAATTTTGTAATATAAATTGTTTTAGCACCAACACATAGGCCATGTCTGCTACATATGGCCTATAAAGAAAAACATTAAATGTTAATTTCATAAGTATTATAATTGCTACACTACATTTTAAAAAATACATACTTGTGGTGAAATTTCACCGAAAATAACAATAGCAAGTGTTGAACAGATGACTGCAACTAGTCCAGATGTTAAATCATCTAACAGAATAGTGAACAATGAATTGACAAGAACATTTGAAAATAAAATAGAACAAAGCAAATAATTTCCATGGTTTCTCACTGGCTGTATTGTCCTTGCATATTGTTTTTCCTAAAATATGATAAAATTGTTTAACAATTTAAAAAAAAAATCAGACATTAATATTTTAATAATAAAGTAAACAATTCTATAACATTCAAAATTGAAAAAATAATATATAATCAACTATATTTATATAACATACTTTTTCTGTACCAGTGTTACAAAGTATTTTTAGTTCAGTTCTATCCATTGCCATCAAACCCAAGTTAAGGCCGGAAAATAAAGCAGAAAAGCTGAGGCACAAGAGAATGATTAAAATGCTAAGCCAAAGAGGTAACATTTTTTCATATGTACGAATCTGAAATATATTGACTGTAAATAGTTAATACTACATTTATCTTAATAATATCAAAATGTATGCGCATTTAAAAGAAAAGATATAACGCTTACTGTATTCCATGATGCTCTGCCTTGATGTCTAAAAGGCACATAATCATTTTGGGCATCTTCATATATTGGTGATTTTGCACAAATAAAAAATGGAGATCCAAGTGGTAAAACTACATCAATGGTTGCTGTATTTTTCTGTACATTTTTTACCTACAAGTAGTAAAATGAAAAAATTGTCTATTTTAATTACCTGTTTAGAAATTTTACATACACAAATATATGCACGGAGTTTTTAAATTCTTTTTCGCATGCATTCAAATTATAGAATTGATTCTATATGCTTTTGAATTAATTTTGGTATGTAAATAATAACTTTCTCTTACTTGAAACTCATTGCTCTTTATTTTGTCACAAATAGAATCCCTCTCTTGTGGCATATCCGTAAATGTGATTAAAGTACCTTCTGTAATTCCAGATCCGAATAACCGTATTACTGCTTTGCCACCAGCCAAAATCTCTGGAATACCTTCTTCGGTGTAGCTAGGATCCTTATCAGCTAACTCTACTCTCAGGCCTTCAATGTAAATGTTTGTACGGACTTGTGTCGATGGTACATTTTCATTATCACCGATGTCAGGTACATGTGAATTGGCACGACGTGTGCGAAAATATTTTCTGAGAATGAAATATTCAGTCGCTATAGAGAATACAAATGGTCAAGAAATAATTATAAATTGAAAAATTATTCAATTTTGTAGATGCTACACCAACCATACTTGTTACTCTCTCTTGCAATGGTCCTCCTTATCTTAAAGGTTAAAATAATTGTATCAATTGAACATTGATATATGAATCAGTGTAGAGGGACAAATATACCATGTTTACACAAAAGATAATAAAGTCTCCAATTCTTAATAAAAAGTATATGATACAAAATGAGTACAATAATGACCTACTTAAAAAATATCAGTATTTTTCTTTATAGAGACAAAAAAACGTAAGATTTATAATTGAAAAGCGTATAAAAATTATAATATATTTGATAAGCATTTATCAATGTTACATAAATGTAATGTAACTAACTAAATAAATATTTCAAATAATAATCACTAGCAAACTTGCAACGTATATGGTATAAAAAGTAATTGGATACACTGATACAGATAATTAGTCATCAGTCTGATAGCAAGCAATCAAGAAGTATGTAAAAGGAAACCATGGCTTAATACAGAAAACATAATAAGCACAAAAAATGTTATACACTACAAAGAGCTTTATTAACACTTATATATTTCACAAAATTAAAAAATAGACATATTAAAAAAAATAGACATAAAATTTATCTATAGATAAATTGTTAATTCATTGAAAAATTTGAATGAAGTGGCCTTATATATGATTTTCTTTCTTAAAATATTTGTCCAATGCAAAAATATTGGAACACTTAAATGTAGGTCAAACATAAATCTATTTTTATACATCCAACCTAGAGTGTCTGAATAATGGTCAAATAACGAGTATAATTTCAAATTATGATACTAATAACAAATTAAAATTCTTAACAAAAAAAATAATTTGTAATATTATATATACATTAATAATACATCAATTTTATTACGCTATTCAATGTTAATAAAATATAAAATTCTTATTATACAAATTTATATTATATTTATTAGAACAATCTGATTAATTTACTTTGTATATATTTACATTTTATATCGATTACATTTTATTTATTTATAAAATAATGTTCATTGTTATTGCTTATTGATAAACAATTATCTCAAATGAAGACAAAAGAGTGATTTATTGTCAACAATAAAACAAAGTACTATGCACATGCAAAGCAAAATACATGCAAAGTAAAATGTATGCAGTTGTCCTCTATAAATTAATGTTCTAATGTTTATGAAAACAAATGTTGATGAAGATTAATCTATAGTACACTTAAATTTGTTGCAAATGTATACAATGATAACGAGACGTTCGTAACTTTCAGAGATTTCTAAATCATTTATTCGCACATCAATTCATATTTACAATAGAATAAAAATTACATTAAAATGTTATATATATATATATATATATATATATATATATATTTCTTTTTGCTAATATTCTAAATTTAGTTCCAATTTCAAGTTATATAGATATCACAGATGGAATAAGTATTACGTGGACAAAAAAATATATAACGTAAGACATAATCAAAGATACTAATATCGCGATAAAACTATATTATATGCGATAATCTGTTAAGATAGTAAACAAATAAATGTGAAAGTTAACGAGAGAAAAATGGTGAGTCTTGCACAATGAGGAAAAAAAATCACATTATATCATATAACCGGCATCTTCTAACGTTGCAACGTAGGTAGACAGCAATTCGTCCTTTTTCTTTTTCTTTTTCTTTGTTACACGTAAGGAAAATTACCCCCGCATACCGATCGTACCATACACATACGTACATAAACATGTATATATATATGTATATATATACTTACTGCAATCGCGAAGGTAAGTTCACCGTAAAATTACTTCCAAGATTGGTCCATCGTTCGCCGTTTTTCAAGCAAAAATAGACCGTGTTTACTTTAAAGTCCGGAAGTTCGAGAAACGTGTATATTGCACGATCGCCTGACATCGAGATCCAAATGTTCTTGAGTACATTATTCCGTTCACAATCACTACCATCATTCGACCAATGTAATGATAAGTTACTTTCGAGGCCGGTCCCATATAGCTCTATCAAGTACTCGGAACGAAACGAAGGTGTTTCATGGAAGAACGAATCCCGTAGATTTAACACGCTTACAGCGGTCACGTTAGGATTATTTAACGGATTCACTATGTCTGTCAATGTATTGCCTCTTGTTAATCGAATAACTGCAATAACGAATAATAGAAAAACTGCCGATGGTGTGTATGAGCGACCAACATGTCGCGCCATCGTGCGACTAACTCAACTCTGACAACTTTACTCATCCACTAGAAGTGAGCTGTATTTATAACCTTCAAGAATCGGCGCCGCGCATGCGCAAACGTGATGACTCTTGCGATATCTCGAGATACCATCTACGTGTAATCAAGTAGTAAGAATGACTTATCTTTATTTCGGTCTTTCCTGTTTGAAAAATTAAAATAATTAATTTTCAATGGAAAATAAAAAATCCGGTTTGATGTATATGATAGATCAATGAAACAAACGTATTCCTATAACGTACAAAAATACAATGAAATTAAGACATTTCTTAGGTACATTAGAATGAACCAATCAACGTTGATATATATTGTCCAATCAGATGTGACGAAAATGTGTTTAAGTTCACTTCATACTTTCGATCTTTGATCCGAGTGATCTTGACAACCTATCGATCGTGATGTAAGAATACGGCATAAAGTATATCGGAAACTATAAACGTGTGTAAAATCTTTTCCATTAATTTCGTTCAAATTTATTCCGATATTTAGAGGTAGAAAGTGTAAAAAATATTCTAACAAAATTACGAAGCGTTCATCGATACGTAAACATATAGAAAATGTTTTGAACTTTAATTATTCGTAAAGATCGATCAAGATGTATCCAACTGCTTCAACAACTGGACCGCAAGATCAAAATGGAGGAACTGACGGATAGATCGATAATGCTCAGTAATGTTAGAGAATATCATTGATCACTTTGCTTGTCAACGTGATTGTAAGTAAATCGTTTTCGCAATTTTCTATTATAGAAAATAATGTAAAGTGTTTGTTTCCTTTTATTGACAGTTCGTATTCGTATATCGATATGCGCGCGAAATTTAAGAATAAAGCAGGAATTTTTTTTCAAATTAAAAATTTTAAACGTTTTGAGCCATTAATAATAAAAGAATTTGTTTGGTAAATAAATTTTGTTAATATTATTCTTATCTTGAATTTTCATAATATTTTAACATTTTAATTAAAATAAGATTTTTCTTTCTTTTAAATCAGAGCATGGAATGGATGGATCCTGTCCACTCCTCTTTCCATCTTTTGGGGAGAAAAATAACTCTGAACGAGGAATCGGATATACAGCACAGAAAGTGTCTTTATACAGGCCATCCTCTGATGCAATTGACCTTGGATACCATACTCTTGACAACAGTGGTTGCCGTGTGCCTTCCTCATCTGCTATTACATCTGTACCTACGAGACAACAACCGCTGTCACAACAGAAAAGAGCATATGTTACAGGTCTTTACCAACTTGACGATGAGTTGTTACTAAAAATTTTCTCCTGGCTAAGTACTAGAGATCGTTGTGCTTTGGCGCAAACTTGTAGACGTCTATGGGAAATAGCGTGGCATCCATCCTTATGGAAGGAAGTTGAAATACAATATCCTCAAAATGCGACTATAGCACTAAATGCTTTAGCACAGCGAGGATGTCATTCTTGTATTCGTCGTTTGATATTGGAAGGTGCCACAGGTCTTCCTGGAGTCTTTCGACAACTGCCATTTTTAAGTTTAACTTCTCTAATTCTGCGTCATTCGCGACGCGTAACGGATGCTAACGTGACTGCCATTTTAGATAATTGCGTGCATTTAAAAGAATTAGATTTAACTGGATGCGTGAGTGTGACTAAAGCTTGTAGCCGGATAACATCGTTGCAATTACAGTCGCTTGATCTAAGCGATTGCCACAATATTGAAGATTCTGGTTTGGTATTAACGCTCTCCCGTATGCCACAACTTGCGTGCCTTTATCTACGACGATGCGCACGTATAACCGATGCCAGTTTCGTTGCTATTGCATCTTACTGTGGAAATTTACGACAACTTTCTGTATCTGATTGCGCAAAAATAACAGATTTTGGTGTACGTGAAGTGGCCGCACGTCTAGGGCCATCGTTAAGATATTTTTCTGTTGGTAAATGCGATCGTGTATCTGATGCCGGTCTGCTTGTGGTAGCCAGACATTGTTATAAATTACGTTATTTGAATGCACGTGGTTGCGAAGCACTCAGTGATAGCGCAACATCGGCTTTGGCACGTGGATGTCCACGGCTGAGAGCTCTTGACATAGGAAAATGCGATATCGGTGATGCCACACTCGAGGCTCTTTCCACGGGCTGTCCTAATTTGAAAAAGCTCTCTCTTTGTGGTTGCGAACGAATCACAGATGCTGGACTGGAAGCATTAGCATATTACGTGCGTGGTTTGAGACAGTTAAATATCGGAGAATGCCCTAGAGTAACTTGGGTTGGATACCGCGCAGTTAAACGTTATTGTCGTCGATGTGTTATAGAACATACTAATCCTGGTTTCTCCAGTTGATCCATATTTACTTTAATCTCCTGCTTCTACTATCTGCGATATATTTATTAACAAATATCAATTTCATTGCTTAATTAAATATTAATTTATATATATAGAGAAAAAAAGCGACGTATACTGAAATAGATTGTAAAAATATATATTTTGCGTCTTGCTTAAAAAACGCATTTGCTATTTATTGTTTTTTTTATATTTTAATACATTATACAAGGGTAATAAAATGTTAAATTTTATACTTTAATAAATGGATGTCTTATAACCTTCATTCAATGTTATCGAAAAAGTAATTACATTTAATTAGTTTGTCATTTTCAGTAGGTATTATCATATTAGGATATCAGATTTTCTACTTTTAGATATTTTATCCAGAATAATATTTTAAATCACATAATAGAAATAGTATTACCTTATTAATTAAATCAACTGGCTATAATACAAATCTTTCATTCAACAGATTCACGCATTTCTCACTGATCCTTTAACAATTTTAACATCATCGATAGGCCTATCATTTTTATCTGTTTCAACAAGACCAATTCTTTTTACTATTGCCATACCAGAATGAATTCGCCCTGCTCATAGAAAGACACATGATATCATTTAAATTAGAATCATTCTCATGAAATCATAATTGTTATACATACATAATAATATTCTATCTTACCAAATATAGTATGCTTTCCATCCAACCATTGCGTAGGTGCTAATGTGATAAAAAATTGAGATCCATTTGTATCTGGTCCAGAGTTTGCCATGGATAATATCCCAGCACCAGTATGTTTCAAATCATCATGAATTTCATCATCAAAACTATCTCCATATATAGACATACCACCTTTTCCTGTAGCGGTTGGATCTCCACCTGTGGGGACGCATACATTTATAATATCATATGTAATATTCAATAAGAATTCTACAAAACACAACCTTGTTTTACCTTGTATCATAAAATCGCGAATTATTCTATGAAACTTTGTACCATTGTAATATCCACGACGTGTCAATTCAGCAAAATTTCTACACGTTATAGGTGCATGTTTCCAGTATAATTCAATGATTATTTCACCCATACTAAAACACAAAAAAATGTATCACTGAAAAAAAATCATACAATAGAAATGGTTAATTTATATATTCGCATGTCTTACGTTGTCTCAAAAGCCACAAAGGGAGGTTGCCAATGTTTATCTGGTATTCCTGATATATTTGAAAGAGTCATTATTACACTATAAAAGTTATTAATAAAAATGAAAATATTACAAACAACAAATTAACCAACAAATAACCAAACTAAATTCAAACTACAAAATTGTATGCGAATTGTATCAGCTGTTTTTAGAACGCTATCTATATTAGCTTCCTAGAACTATAAGCGGTACTGAATTGATGTGTTAAAGTCGTAATGCCGGATCCTGCAATGGTGTTATAAAAATGTGTTAAAGATAATATTTACAGATTTTATAAATGTGGACCATTTTGTCCATCAGTTTTAAACTTGATCACATTCTTTTAATGTCTTCTGGCTCACTCGTAGTTTATTACGTATGCCAGAACGACTTAACCTCAGCAAAAACATGTTTTCTCCCCGGGATTTAGGTAAAACAGATTATATTAGTTTAAATATCTACGATAGTGCGGCTTTCACACGGGGGACATCGCGTAGCCTTTGGAGGGTAATTATTTTTCAAACATTATGTTCTGTATCACAAACAAACGATGATATTTTTTTTAATTATTAAATTATTAAATTATTTATCTTAATTATTTATTATTTTATTCCAGCAATGGAAACAGTTATCAAGGTTTCAAAGAAATATTTTCTACTTTGCTATTGTAACAGTTTTACTTGTGATATTTTATCTTTTGCCCGGTGAAACCAAAAATGCTATTCTACAAAATAACAGTGATTATAATAATGTTGATATAATTCAAGAGACAGTTAAATATGAAAAGGTAAATAAAGTATTAAAATATTTTTAAACTCTATTATAATTAATAGGTCATTTTTTCAGGTGCCGGAGGATATTGTTGTAGATAATGTTAATCAACCTGCTGGTGGTGGTCATGGTGGTGATGTCATTGAAGAACCAGAATTTCAACCAGAGATCAATCAAGTAGATGATGATCAAATTGGGGAACCACCTCAACCCAAACCAATTGCACTTAAATTTGAAGGTATATTTAATGTATAAACAATAGATTAATAATCTTGATAATTTATAAACAATTACATTCTATAGGACCACAAAATAGTAGACAAAGAGCAGTAGTTGCAGCATTTAAACATTCATGGAATGGGTATAAACAATATGCTTGGGGTCATGATAATGTTAAGCCGATATCAAAAAAATATCATGAATGGTTCGGCTTAGGACTTACTATTGTGGATTCCTTAGATACTTTATACATGATGGGTTTGAATGATGGTGTGTATAATATATATTTACTTTTATCTTCTTCCAGTATTATGAAATTAATATCCTTGATTTTTTTAGATTTTGCAGAAGCTAAATCGTGGGTTGAAAGTAGTTTAGTCTTCACCATGAATCGTGATGTTAATCTGTTTGAAGTAACAATAAGAGTATTAGGAGGATTGTTAGCTGCATATCATCTTAGTGGAGAGAAAATATTTTTAAATAAAGCGGTAAATTCAATATTGATTCTTTTTAATCTTTTAGTCCATTATTTTATTTAGGTAATCATTGAGTCTTTACAATTTAAGATCGATCTGGGAGATCGTATGATGCCAGCATTTTCCACTAGATCTGGTGTTCCATATTCTGATGTCAATTTAGGGACTAGAGCAGCACATAGTCCTAAATGGGGGCCTGATAGTAGTACTAGTGAAGTAACTTCTATTCAATTAGAATTTCGTGATCTAAGTCGTAGTTCAGGACAACCTAAATTTGAGGTAATAAGAAAAGAAGTATGAATAAAAATATCTTTATGTATTATTGCTTTTGAAAATATACTTTATATTAATTAATAATTGTGTAGGCAGCTGCTGCAAGAGTCTCAGAACATGTGCATCAATTAGAGAAACATGATGGTTTAGTTCCAATTTTTATCAATGCCAACAATGGACAATTTAGAGAATATGCGACAATTACATTAGGAGCTAGAGGTGACAGCTATTACGAATATTTATTGAAACAATGGATACAAACTGGGAAGACCATAGACTAGTCTGTATTTTTTTTTAAGCATGTAATTCCTGATCATTCGCAGTGCACGAGATAGTAGTAGTGTCTCTGATAGACAATTGCTTCTCTTTATTTACAGTTTACGAGATGACTATTTATTGGGCATTTCTGGAACTAAGAAACATCTAGTCAAATATACAGCTATTAATAAGTATCTTTTTATAGCAGAATTGGTTGGTGCGCATAAAGATACAAGACCAAAGATGGTAATTTTCTTCTAGAAACATATTAATATTATATATAGCAACATTAAGAAATTAAAAATACTTATAAATATATTCTACAGGACCATCTTACATGTTACTTAGGAGGTACATTAGCCTTAGGAGTCCATCATGGGTTGCCACAAGAACATATGGCTTTTGCAAATGATATTGTCAAAACTTGTTATCAAACTTATGCAATACAACCGACTTTTCTTGCTCCCGAAATAACTTATTTTAACATTCAGGTAAACTTATTAGAAGAGTTATAAACATATATTAATAATAAATCCTTTTATTTCCTTTTTTATCATTCACAGAAATTAGAAGGAGATAATCAAATGGATATGTATGTGAAAACAAATGATGCACATAATCTCCTACGACCTGAGTTTATAGAAAGTCTTTTTTATATGTGGTATTTCACAGGAAATAAAACTTTCCAGGATTGGGGCTGGCAAATATTTCAAGTAAGCTTTAACATGCTTACCTTAAGACGATCTTGTCTATTCATAATTTTACCATTATATGTATACGTATATATTAATCTCTTTATATATAAATAGGCATTTGAAAATTATACTAAAGTGGAAAATGGATACACAAGCATTGGAAATGTTCGAAGTATTCATAACATACGACCACAAGATATGACAGAAAGTTTCTGGTTCGCCGAAACTTTGAAATATTTATATTTGTTATTTGATGATACCAGACAGTTAATAGATTTAGACAAATGGGTATTCAATTCCGAAGGTCATCCATTGCCTATATATGAATCATAATACGATGTAAAGAAAAATTTATATTCGACAAATTCGAAACTGTATCTTTAATTAGTTGAATTCATTTGCACCGATTTATTAATCATTATTATTAAAAAATTGCACCTAAAATCCAATCATATGTATTGGATACGAAAGATTTTCAAATTCTTTCGATTGTCTAAAAAATTTGTACAAAACCCGAGCAAACATAATAGCGTGTATGTAAAGTAAACATTTACAAATTTATTATCGTAAATATTTCATACGTTATGATTTATGAAAAATCATATCATTGTTTATACACAATTACATCTTTGACTTGAGTAGTGCCTATCTATGATCATCGGACGATGAAATGAACGATTTTGTAAATACTTTACTCTTTATATTATAGATCATGGAGATAAAAAGCAAATTTTTTTTTCATTCAAATTGTTAACACATCAATTATCAAACAATTGTAATCAAAACTACTTATACACAAAAGTACTATTCATCTATAGTGAGCACGTGCTTATACTATTTATCTTAAAAAAGAAAAAAGAAGTACATATTCATATCTTAGATTGTACATTAAAAGAACAGTTTATTAAAAAAAAAAAAAAAAAAAAAAAAAACAAAAAAAACAAAAAAAAATCCTATAATAATCTTCTTTCTAGCAATAACAATGTAATCATTTATAGAAGTAACTTAAGTTAGAGTATCTAGTCGTGATTTACTAATATTTTTATCTATGATTTATCTATTATACATTATATTTGCTTCAACGTTATATATATATATATATATATATATATATATATATATATATATAACAAACGGCCAAAATTATTATTGTCAACAATAGACAAAAATGTACATTATCTACATTGTATGAAAAGCTTTTATACATAAGTATATGCGTGTGTATGTATGTATGTATATATATATATATATATATATATATATATACTAGGATAATAATTATAAAGTCATTAGTTTCATATGAGAAAAAAAATATATAGAAATAAGTATTTCATAATAAGACTATATTATGCATACAAACACATATACAACAATCCACAATAATGTCGGTAAAATAGAATGCAATCGATAATACGAATGATATACTTATCAATGGCACTCAAATTACTCATTTTAATATTAAATATTTACATTTTATATTACGTATTATGAAAATTAACCTTTATAGTACATGTGTACGTATATGTTTTTCATAAAACATATTCTTTATTTTACAATGCGAGAATACAATGTAACTAACATAACACTTCTTCTTTGAACGAATTTCTTATCGTAAAATCTCTAAGTGTAATCTTCTAAAAAAGGAAAACAAAAAGAAATAAAAGAGTCGTCATAAAATGGCACAGTCACAACATTCATGCGTGTAATAAAGACAATTAATAAGACATTCCTCGCATTTGTTGTCCTTCGACGAATGACTCCCAGAGTCGATATCAAATTCGACTTTTCTTTGACTTTTTTGATTTTCCCAATGTAAACCTTGTAAGCCCATATTTGTATTTGATGGTGCTATCTCGATTGCATCATAATCTATGCTTCGATTTTGTGACATTGGCGTTGATGACGGCAAAGTCGATAATGAAGAGGACGGGATTACCGACGCAGTAGCCATCGTTGTTTGGGAGTGAACTTCGTTCGGTTGCTCGTATTCAATGCTCTTTTTCCTGTTCTCAGCCATTTGCATCGAATTGTTTGGCGATGTTACTCTGATTATACAAATCCAAAAATTATCCTTTTTTATCTTTCTTTTTCTCTCCTTCTCTTTCTCTCTTTCTCTCTTTCTATCTTTCTATCTCTTTCTCATGCAAATTAATTATGAACGAAGACAAGCTTATAAAAAAGCTTCAATGAACTTACTTGTAGCTGCCGCGTTCAGGAAATATACGCTTGAGAGACATCTTTGATGTATGAAAATCGCGGGAAATTTGAAAAATTGCTTTCGAATTTTTTTGTTAAAAAGGACCGAACAAAATTGAGACAGATTGTCGTTGAATATGGATTGATGAAAAAAAAATTAATTTTCAGAAACTTAGAGAGACTCTTTCTCTGTGGTATGATAAAGGTCTAACTGACGATATTCTCATACACACAACAACATTGTGACAAAAGAAAGACGAAATTAGGAAAACGGAAACGACTGCCAGTGCCTTCATTTGTTTGTTTTTCTTTTTTTTTTCTTCCGTAATTTGGTTAGACAAAACAATAACACATCCACATATGTCCTTTCGTAATTTAAAGGGTCATTGTAAATCGATTGTTGAATATTTCTATTCTTTACTATAGAAAAGTGATCGAAAATATTTCTAAGAAACTTTCTAATTGAATATCTAAATTAGCTAAATTTATTAATATCTACATAGTTAAAATTATATATATATATATATATATATATATATAAATATATATATATATGTATGTATGTATGCATGTATATTTGTATATCGAAATAATTTCAACTAACGACAAGCCTAATTAATAGGACTTACTATTTTCATTTGACGAATATCTCTTTTTCTTTTTTTTTTGTTTTTTTTTTGTTTTTACTAATCATGCGTTCGGAAACATAAACATATAAGCACAACGATAAAACGTGAAGGCTTCGTTTATGTGTGTGTATGTGTGTATCTCTTTATGATAACACAAATATATTTTATATTTATTGAAAAACAACATACACATCTAAAGATTGTAATTTTAAAGTGCAATCACAAAAAACGCCATAACGATCATCATGTGAGTATATGTGTGTGTGTGTGTGTGTGTGTGTGTGTGTATGTATATGCGCGCGCGCACGTATATATATATATATATATATATATATATATGTGCGAATACGCGTTCATACATTTATACGCATATCTCTCATTATTTTTCTTTTCAATGATTGGAAAAGTTTACAGAATGTGAGATTACGTGAACATTATTATGATACAGTAAAGTCGATGCTAGTGGATCGATCGATCGATTGATTGATCGATTTACATTAACGAATATAATTCGAAATTGCACTGCGTAAATTAATGTCTAATGTACTGTAATAATTTCATTACACAGAGCACCTTGCGAATAATGTTCTTCTTCTTCTTCTTTCTTTTTTATTTCATTTTTTTTCTTTCTCTCTATCCGTTCTTTTTTTTTTTTCTTTTTTTTTCTTTTTTCAATATATTCTTATCTATCGGAATTGAGGCTTGTATAGGCCGTTAGATAGCGGTAAGATAAAATTCTTATCTTTAAAACATTCGTCTATAATGTAGATTAACAGACGTCGGTGTTCTTGCGAGTAAATGCTTCGGAGATCAGTCAAGCTATATATATATATATATATTTGCCTCTCGTTTATCAAAGATCGCTAACTTTATACAGTGGTAATTTTTTTTATCTTTCTTTTTTTCCTTTCCTTTCTCTTTCTTTCTTTTTTTCTTCAAATAACCGTACACAAACTCGGTCAGTTTTCTTTAAAACAATGTTATCTACGTGTTAATCCAACGTGTTCGTTCTCACATAAAATATTAAATCGCATTGAAACAACACATTAAATCTCGTGAAATTTTCAACGTATTCGAACTTCAAATTCTCTACTTACGGCAAATTAACCTGTTTATTTAACTCGCTTTGTCGTTTTTTAATCTCCCCGCAGTCATCTTTCATAAAACGATTATAATTATCTTGAAAATTCTAATGCATCTATCCTCTCATACAGGATAGCTCTAGTTAAAGGCTCACTGTACAGTGTTAGATAATATCGTAATATCTCCGATATATTATACTTTTGTAATCTTTCAGGAACTATCGATGTAATAAGTACACGTACATGTCTGTTCATGTTCAATTAGGCATGTCGAACGATCTCTTTCTTTCCTAATAATAAAAACGAAAATAAAGAAACTATGATCACCTGGAAAATAATACATAATTGGAATCTATAATTACTTTCGTGCAATGCGAATAGTAAGCTGCAAACCGCTGAACGGTGAGCCCATAACTTGCACCTTCCGTATATATGTATATATATATATATATAAATATATATATATAATATATATATAAATATATATATATATAAATATATATATATAATATATATATATAAATACATAATATATTTTCATATATTATATATACATGTATTATAATAATTTGCATGTAATATAATTAATCTCAATTCTCAATGGCCAAGTCAATTGGACTTCTAATAACTTTCTAATTTTTATATATATATATATATATTTATATACATATATATATATATATATATATATATGTATATTGTTTTTCTTACGTGATACTACTTCGAATATTCGTATAAACCCTGCTAAAATGGCGCCGTGCAAAATGGAGACGGCGTTCCCTTAAGTGGCCGTCCGAAGGAAGACATTATGATTCCGCGTATTTTTGGATTCTTCTTTGTTTTATCTTTTTTATTTTTTTACTTTTACATCCTTATATTTTTCCTCTTCCTCGTTTACTTTTGTCTCTTATTCGGTTAAACAAATTAAATAAATAAAAAGAAAAAAAAAAAAAAAGAAAAGAATAATAAAAACAAAACGCTCATAGTTTCTCCTTAACACGGCCACCATATTTATTTATTTGTTTTTTTTTTTTATTATTATTATTTTTGCTTCTCTTTCTTTTTCATCATAATTCGCATCTCGAATAAAATTCTTATCTTTTTGAGAGTTTGACGGCCGTTAAAGTTTCTCACGGAGAAAAACTGTATCTAGCTTTTTATGTACGTATGTATTTATGCACAACGTAATTAAGTTGTGAACAAATAAATGATATCTGTGCGTTAAGATATTGACTGATACGTGCTGTTATACGAATATATATATATATTATATGTACGTTCTTTCTAGTTTAAGAAAACCAAACAAAAAAGTATGTTACAAAATATTTTATAATCGATGAGAATTACATGACTATTAGAAATATTTTCGAAATATCAACAAACTCGTTTTCTTTTTTTTCCTCTTTCTTTTATACACACGTAAATAAACGAACAATTCTATTTCCTCTTTCCCCTTTTTTCTTTTTTTCTTACAATATTGCATCTAAAAAAAATCTACGAAAAAGAAACGAAAAATAAACAGATTGAAAACTGAAAAATTTATTATATCAACGTCGAAGTTTCTCACTTTACTTTATTTCAAAAATTTTTAGAATTCGAATCTCGTTTTTTTCTTTCGATATTATGAAAAATGATGTTAACAATCATATCAAATTTAATCATAAAATTGTTCTATCAAATTCATCTTAATTTCATCTTTCTTCTTATAACTGTACAAAAACATGACATTAATAATTTATTAAGTAAATTATCATCAAAATTATGTCAACATGATTTATATAATTTAGACAAACGCTTTACTTTCATGAATAAAAGATATCTTTATTTTTCCTTTGTGTATTTGTGTGTGTGTGTGTGTGTATGTGTTCTTCTTTTTCTTTATTCTATTTTCTTTTTTTTTTTATCTAAATTTTTCACTTTTGACCAGTATCTCAACATTTCATACAAATTTATAAAGAAGAAATTTATAAATAAAATTCTTTCTCTCTCTCTCTCTCTCTCTCTCTCTCTCATCATATTTTTTGTGCAGTAATAGTTCAATCTGATCGATTATGATCGATAAATTATTATTGCTAGTAGAAAAATCCTAACAACAAAAATATTTATATTTAAATTTCAATTAATACTTGAAATTATATAACGGTGATATATTATTATCCTTGACTAGTGACATTGAACGTAACATTTGTAAGAACAATGAGACATTAAAAATGATCTAGTAATTAACTTTCTTTCTCTCTCTCTCTCTCTCTCTCTCTCTCTCTCTATCTATCTTTATCTTTATCTC